TAGACGAGAGTGGCTAAACTTGGAAGGGAAATTCTGGGAGTTGAAGTCCACAAGTTCTTAAAAGTTTCCAAAGTTGGACACACCCACTCTAGAGAGTTTTTGCGTCTATCAATATTTATGTCCAGAACAAATGTCCTGTGACTGATCCACATTTTTTAAAAAATATATTTTTATTGTTTACATATAAATATATTGAATACAGCGTAATTGTCCTGGAGTTCCACTTGCCGTGAAACAAAGGTAAAAACAAAATAACATATATACTATTTTAAACAGTGCTAGTGTTGTACAGTAATTTCTGACCATCATATTCTAGTATGTCAATTTATCTATCTGTCAGCACGTCAAGATGCATTTATCCTAGTGCTGACATGAGAAGGAGAACTCAAATGTCTGCAACGGGACGGTTGCCTTTCACCTACTTATTTTAGCTGGAGATAATGTCCCCTAGGAGATGGATGGGAGGGGGGAAATTCTTTGAGTTGGAGCAGTAGATTAGGGGTGAATGATTGGGAAGATGGCCAATGAATGCAGAGGAGTGGGGGAAGGAAGAGGAGGGATTTTGGGTCAGCACGTCAGTGCTGGCTGCATGGAGTCAGTGTAAAAGTTGCCGTGCTAAATAAAATGGAAGTTTGTTTCAAAAAAGACTTTGTTTGAGACGCAATTTATTTGAAGACGGCCTGAAAACCTGACACTATCATTCTAATACCTACTGGTACATTTCCAAGTCCACCTAACCTAATTCTTTCGCATTCCAACTTCTACCTCGTGTTTCTAACCATTAATAGAAACTATCCCATGTAGCATAGAATTCTGTATCTCCTTTCTCTTTTATTTTTAGCATTAGTCTGTCCATTTCCGCACAGACCAGTATCTTCCTTATCGTCTCCTCCTCTGAGGGGGTGTTTTCGCACTTCCACTGCTGCGCATACACAATTCTTGTGGCGGTCAAGAGGTGTAATACTAAGTATATTCAGTGGTGGGATTCAACATTTTTTACTACCAGTTCTGTGGGCGTGGCTTGGTGGGCGTGGCAAGGGAAGGATACTGTAAAATCTCCATTCCCACCCCACTTCAGGGGAAGGTTACTGCAAAATCCCCATTTCCTCCTGATCAGCTGGGACTCAGGAGGCAGAGAATAGATGAGGGCGGGGCCAGTCAGAGGTGGTATTTACCGGTTCTCCGAATTACTCAAAATTTCCGCTACCAGTTCTCCAGAACTGGTCAGAACCTGCTGAAACCCACTTCTGGGTGTATTGTCCCTTTATCATAACCATCTGATATACCTAGTAAAAAAATAATTCTGGCTTAAACTCTATATGTTGTCTGGTCATTTGTTCTAATCACATATGCATTTGTATCCAAAATTTCCTTGCCTTGTCCACCACATGTGGTACTATGTGCCAGGTATTTGTTTACATTTCTAACAGTTTGGGGACATATTGTTAAACATTTTGGCCAATCTTGCCGGGGACAGATTGAATGACCCAGATTTTTGAATTAACACCAGGGAGGGAGGGAGATGCTCCATTTTCTCTTACGAGCTGCGAGATAACAAATTTTCTGTTCTAATCCCACTTAGATAATTATTTCCCTCTCTTATCCTGGCAGGCACCCAATAACTTGCTAGACACTTAATCATCATTAATATCTAACCTTCCCTTGCTGCCTGAGATTAGCAATTTCAAGCCTGGAGGAAGAGAGCCAGGTTGAAGAGGTATACAACTCCTTGGCGAGTCCTGTTCCACGGAATGCCATCCTCACTGCTCTGGGCTCACCACGGTTGAGTGAAAAAGGACCCACTGATGCGGGTCCTGTAAATTATTCATTGGGACAATTTTTTAAAATTGTGAGTCTGTTTATCTCAGCCCTGGCACCTGCCTTAGTGTACCTCCTGCTTTGGTACCTGTCCTGTAGATTCTAAATTAGCCAGAAACACAAGAACGTCTGAAAACAGAGAAGACGCTAATGATCTTGATTTCTGAGTGACAAGCCTAATGGACTAGTCCGGGTGTCAGCAACCTGCGGCTCCGGAGCTGCATGCGGCTCTTTGGGCTCTCGGCTGTGGCTCCCTGTCGGGTGATCCCACCGCTGACTGGGCCCGCCCCTCGCCCTCCCAGTCACTCCTCGCCTGGACTGAGAAGGTAAGGGTGACGGTGGGGGATGGAGAAGTGGCCAGGGCAAAGACAGAGAGATACAGAGAGAGGGGGAGAGAGAGAGAGAGACATAGAGAGATACAAAGAGGGAGAGGGAGAAAGAGGGGGGACAGAGAGAGAGAGAGAGAGGGAGGTGTCAAAAGGACTTTGTGGTTCCCGGTGTTTTTTAACAACTGGTTCTCTGCCCTAATGACCGGCTGGGTAGGTGTGGCTAGGAGGTCATGTGACTGGTGGAAGTGAGTGACATCGAGTTGGCCACGCCCATCCAGGTTTTGTGGCTCCCGGTGTTTTCTCTTCTGTGGGAAACGGGTCCAAATGGCCCTTTGAGTGTTTAAGGTTGCAGACCCCTGGACTAGTCACAATGGCTAATGATTAGGAGATCTGAGAATTGTTCCTCATCCAGGATTGGGATGCTATGAATTCCCAACACTTGGAAACTGCTGCAACCAGTATTTTGAACTGCACTTAGAAATATACTGGTATTCAGTAGGTGGGAATAGCGCAACTGGCCAGTAACACATGGACCACTGCATTCTGAACCCTTTGAAGTTTGCAGATGTTTCTCAAGGGGAGTTCCATAGTGAGATATTAACTCCCAGCAGTCTTGAGCTGGGCAAGTTATAAATATTAATATAATATTTATATTATATATAATAATATAACGGGATCGTGCACGATCCTGTTGCGAACCAGTAGTAAAGGTAAGTAGAACCCACCCCTGTCTTAGACAAAACCTTCCACTGACAGGAAGTCTGCATTTTCCAAAAAAATAAAATAAAATAAAATATTTGCTAACCTTATACTAAGCAGGGCATTTTCATTGTGTCTCACTGTTTCTCAGAACTTAAAAAGAGGGAAAAAATCCTTCCTTTTTTCTTGAAAGCAAAGGGATTCCCCCCCCCCCCTCCATCTGAGTTTAGATGTTACTTTCTCAGCCTCGGAAATTTCGTTCCTCTTAATGAGATTCTTTTAACTGCCTTTAAATTCTCACTGATGTTTGGTTCTGTGGAACTCCTCAGATCTCCTTTGAAATGGAGTGGTAAATCAACTCACACCTCAGGGCCCTGCCAGATAATCAGAAGTGTCAATTCGTTTTATTTATTCTTATTTAATTTTTGTTAAATTTATATGACTGCGCCTACCTCACAAAGAAGTGACTCCGGAAGTCTATGATTAGACTGGAAAAGCCCATTCCGATGCTCTGAGTCAATCCAGAAGGATATAGAATAACAGAATAACAGAGTTGGAAGGGACTTTAGAGGTCTTCTAGTCCAATCCTCCACACAAGCAGGAAACCTTATACCATTTCAGAGAAATGGGTCTCCAATCTCTTCTCAAAAACCTGCGTTGGAGCATTTACAACTTCTGGAAGCGAGTTGTTCCACTGGTTAATTGTTCTCACTGTCAGGAAATTTCTCCTTAGTTCTAGGTTGCTTCTCTCCTTGACGAGTTTCCATCCATTGCTTCTTGTTCTACCTTCTGATGATTTGGAAACTAGGTTGACCCTCTCTTTTTTATGGCTTAGATATTGGAAGGTGGCTATCATGTCACTTCTAGTCCTTTTGTTTCCCCCAAAATAAGACATCCCCTGATAATAAGCCCAATTGGGCTTTTGAGCACATGGCAATAAGGCCAAGCTCTTATTTCAAGGTTCAAAAAAAAATATAAGACAGGGTCTTATTTTCGGGGAAACACAGTAGATATACCCAATTCCTGTAACTGTGGTTTGTACGTCCTAGCCCCCAGCCCCCTACCATCTTCTATGGCCATCAAGGTCAAGTGGAGTTCAAGATGGATGCACCCCTATGCTACTCTCACCAGAGACCAATCCCATTTCTGTCCCATACAAGATCTGATTCCTGATTGAAAGAAATCCAGATAATCCACTTCATTCAGGGTCCCATGAAGCTGTAGAGCAACCTACCTTCTCAACCACCTGTCCCCAAAAAGGGAAGGTTAGATGCTAGACAAAAATTGTCCAGTATAGTAAGGTTCAGTGATGCCTTCCTGGAGACCTTGTCCCAGGCTTCCTTCATTCAAAGAATTCACTGCAACTAGAACCCCCTCACACTATATTCTCCAAGATGCTTTAACAAGCTAGGAGGGACATGGATCTTAGATGGGTGGGCTTCAACTCCCAGAAATCCCCAGCCAGTCTGCAAGGGAATCCTGGGAGTTGAAGTCCACACATCTGAATGTTGACAAGATTGAACGCTGAGTTGAGCTCACATCGTGAGGACCCTGTCCACTTCCTCATTCCAGAAAATACAACTCTGGACTTTCCAACTGCTCCCACAAAAGGTCAAATTAGGTGGCAACTGATCTGCCTCTTGACGTTTCGTCCCACCCCATCTTCCCATGGGGCTTCCTGTGCTCTCCTTCTCTCCACGTGTTCTCCAGGAGAAGCCTTTGAGATCAACCAAGATCAGGCACACACTGCCCTTTGTTGACGATTCCACAATGAAAACTGAGACATTCAGTTATATGTTGAGTCACGATACGTATAAAAGGACAGTGTGTCTTTTAGGAGATCAGAGTCCCCCGTCTTCTGAAAAAAATCCAATGTGCAACTTCCTTCTTTCACCATGTTATTCTACGGGGAGCAAAAAAAAAAATTAACAGGATATAATTGACTATAAAAAAAAAAAAAGAATCCAGTGGAATTTGCTCATTACTTTCCTCCAGCAGCCTCTGTTAGACGGGCCATCCTGTGGTCTCTTGAGCCATGGATTTAATTTATGATGACCACAGTGTGGTCATCAGCAACTGACCACATCTGGGTCACAAGCCCTCACTGGCAACCCACCCCACTTGCTCTGTGATGTCATCAAAGCTCAGGGTTTCTGAAAGACAAGGGAGATGCAGGAACCCTTTGGCTCTACTGTCATGACCTGTGGTCACCGATGGATGGTCTCTTTTCTTCCCTACCTAAGAGGTCAGGATCTGTTTTTTCCTTTCTTCTGATTATGGCAATCTACAAATATCTTGGTTTTTTTTAAATCTTCACAAAATCGACCTTCTAACGAGACCTGGTTTCTGGCTCTGCTATAAATCATTATTCTTGGTGTTGGTACCAACATTCTTCTTGACTGTTGACTCTGTTGCAAGCAGAGGTTCGACAAGTTATTCAAAGAATGGGGTCAAAGCCACCTCCCTAAAAGTATTTTCCACTACTATTAAACATCCAAGCCCATCTTCCCCGCTGTTGTACGGACACACCAGTGATTGTGTGACCATCCCTTGAAAGAAGATAGTGGGTGATGATAGTGGGCAGAAGAAGGCATTCTAAGGTCCCCAAAGTTTCTCCGAGCCACTGAGATGCCAAAGAGAGTGTGACTCGAGGCTTGCAAAAAGAAGAAGATTTTATTTTTGGCCAAAACAAAATACTGGGTGAAATCCAGCAGGTTCTGACAGGTTCTGGAGAACCGGTAGCAGAAATTTTGAGTAGTTCGGAGAACCGGCAAATACCACCTCTGGCTGGCTCCAGAGTGGGGTGAGAATGGAGATTTTGCAATATCCTTCCCCCTGGAGTGGGGAGGAAATAGAGATTTTGCAGTATCCTTCCCCCAGGAGTGGGGAGGGAATGGAGATTTTGCAATATCCAACCCTCAGGAGCGGGGTGGGAATGGAGATTTTGCAGTATCCTTCCACTGCCATGCCCACCAAGCCACGCCCACCAAGCCATGCCCACAGAACTGGTAGTAAAAAAAATTGAATTCCACCACTGGGTGAAACTATAGCCAGAACATACAGACACAATGCATGTAAGGAGTAGTCCTTTTCTACCTTCAGACATCAGTTTAGTACCCAATTCTGGCCCCCTGGCCAGTGGTGGGTTTCAAAAATTTTTACTACCGGTTCTGGGGGTGTGGCTTGGTGGGCGTGGCTTGGTGGGCGTGGCAGGGGAAGCCATTCCCGCCCCACTCCAGGGGAAGGATACTTCAAAATCCCCATTTCCTCCTGATCAGCTGGGACTCGGGAGGCAGAGAATAGATGGGGGTGGGGCCAGTCAGAGATGGTATTTACCGGTTCTCCGAACTACTCAAAATTTCTGCTACCGGTTCTCCAGAACTGGTCAGAGCCTGCTGAAACCCACCTCTGCCCCTGGCCCATGCCTTCCTTATAGCCCCATTGGCCGTGCAGCAAGGAACAGGGGGGCTGAGAGCTTAGCAACACAGGTATTTGCCCAATGTAACCCTGCCAAACCATGACATACCCCGCACCAGGCACCGAGTTGTACACAAAAACAAGATAACAGGAGTTAGGTCAAATGGCAGAAGCAAATGGCAGAGGCAATTCTAATTCTTACAGGAGCAAAGCAATTCTTACAGAAGCGAAATAGCAAGCTATTATTATGTTCCAGTAAATTCTACCTCTTCTACTATTATTACGTCCCATAACGCTCTTCCTTGGCAAAGGCAGCGAATGCTCTTTTTTTTTTTTTTTAATATTAAATTGTAAGCATTGGGTTACGACTTCTGGTTTGCCCTGCAACATCACGGGAGTCTGGTTTGATCGAACGGCAACTCTAATGAATGGGATTAAGTGCCGTTTTTATGGAATCGTGTTCTTATGTTTTGTTGTTGTTTTTTTATGTGGCTTTTCGCTAACTCAATAAGCTGGATGGAATGATTGTTTTGTGGGGTTTTTTTAAAAAACAAACCAACAAAGAAAGTATGCTGTTTATTAAGACGTCTTAAACGGATTGTTCTGTTTCTTACTGCAAAGAAGCACTTTGGAACGTAATCTCAAATTGGAAACGTGAGACCCTCTTAAAGGATAATGGCTAATGGTGATGGATGCAGGCCTGCATCGGGTTGATCCTTGGCACTGTAAAGTTAATGATACTATAAACAAACCCAGTTCCAGGGGTGAAATGCTCTCGGTTCAGACCAGCTCGGGCGATTAGGTAGCGATGGCGGCGGGCAGTTCGGAGAACCGGTAGCAAAAATCCTTGCCCCCGCTCCCCCATCCCTGTATGTGAAGGCAGCTGAGCCGCGCGATCATCAGAGGCTTTTTTTCTTTTAAATGCCTCTGACGAGCCAAGCTCTGACGATCCCAGCTGAGTTGCCTGCCAATCAGCTGAGATCATCAGAGCCTTTTGAAAGCATTTTTTTACATGGTTTTACATGTAAAAAAATGGTTTTAAAAGTAAAAAAAAAAAATTGGCCACGCCTACCGTCACATTACCCCCCCACACCAAGCCACGCCCACAGAATCGGTGGGAACAAATTTTAGATTTCACCACTGCCCAGTTCCTTTTTCGCTAGTCAGCTAGCCCGAAGTTAATATCTGGAGCTGATTTACTGCCAGATAACTTTCATAATGTCTAAAATGGACTGCCACATTAGATAGAAAGACTGCCGTATAATTATAGATATATTAGATTTTTCTGATCCCTTTTGGCTATATCATCCATTGTGTGCAAATGAGGAGCAGCTCAGCGACCTTCACATACAGTTATAATAATTTTATTACAGTAATAATAACAGTTATATAAGCCACAGTTAGGATTACCGTGGTCTGCTGAATGAGCCACCATTTACACATCATTGTACAGGTAGTCCTCGACTTAACAACAGCTCATTCAGTGACCGTTCAAAGTTACAATGGTACTGGAGAAAAAAGTGACTTATGACCATTTTTCACACTTATGACTATTGCGGCATCCCTACAGTCACATGATCAAAATTCAGATGCTTGGCCACTTGTACATATTTATGATGGCTGAAGTGTCCCAGGTCACGGGATCACCTTTTGCGACGTTCCAACAAGCAAACTCAATGGGGAAGCCAGATTCACTTAACGACCGTATGACTAAGTTAACAACTGCAGTGATTCACTTAACAACCGTAGCAAGAAAGATCGTAAAATGGGGCAAAACCCACTTAACAATTGTCTTCAGTAGATTATAGACGTTTTGTGCTCAGTTATGGTCGTAATTCAAGGACTACCTGTATTAGATTTTCTGTTCCCTTTTGGTTATATTGTCCATTGTGTGTGAATGAGCAGCAGCCGGCTTCATATGCAGCAATAAACCATTGTTAGGGTTACCATGGTTTGTTGAATAAGCCCGATTCACACATAATTTATACAACAGCACCATAATGGTTGGTGTAAATCCTTGGTAGTATTGACTTTGAAAATCTGAAATTACAGTATGGCAAGAAATAGCTACGGCATATTCTATATCAGTTTGGTGCAATTGTTAAAGACACCAGGCTAGATACTGGGAGATCCTGAGTTCTAGTTCTTTGAACCCAAAGCCAGACGAGTGACCTTGGGCCAGTCACCTCCTTTCAGCCCTAGGAAGGTGGCAATGGCAAATCACTTGCCAAGAAAACTGTCTATGCAGTTATTAGGAGTCAAGATTATCTGGAAGGTATGCATAAACACACAAACACAGACACGAATCTACATATATCTAGATTTTTATCTTCATAGATAACACACACACCAACAGCTATATATGCTTTCGGATTCTACCCTGGTTTTTAAACATGCTTTTGATCCTTTGTCTAGCTGTGCTGTATTTTTGATGTGAAATGATCAAAGGCAGAAAAAACTTTGCTAAGTTAAAAAAAAACCCACAAATGGGGTGGCTGGGAGAGACGCCAAGAGGAATACGGGAGGAACCTGCATTATTTTTCAGGTGCTTGGCTCAATCGGGAAGAGATTCTTATATTTTGCTTTGAGTCAGGTGGACAGTCTTCTCCCATCTCACTCTTTTTCAAACTTGGCAACTTTTAAGATGCGTAGACTTTGGCCTCTAAAATTCCCCACCCAAGGCAGAATCCAGACAGTTGAGTCAACTTGTTCTTAAAGATCCGGTCTCAAACCGCTTTGCGTTTTAATAGAATACTGTATGTACTTCCTTGTATGACAAACGGCGGGGCAGATGCTTCTCGAACCAAAGCAAAAAGTGAGCATTGTTTGACAAAGCTCTGAAATGTTTAATGAACCTGATAAATCTATCTATTTATCTGTCTGTCTGTCTACAATCTATCTATCTATCTATCTATCTATCTATCTATCTATCTATCTATCTATCTCTACCTATCTATCTACATTTCTCTATCAATCTTTATCATCTATCATCTCATCTATCAATCATCTATCAAGCTATCAAGCTATCTATCATCTATCTATCAACTATTTATTATCTATTTATCTATCATCTACCTAACTATCATCTATCAAGCTATCTATCATCATTATCATCTATATCATCTATCTATCTATCTATCTATCTATCTATCTATCTATCTATCTATCCATCCATCCATCCATCCATCCATCTATCTGCTTATTTACTTGCTTATTTATTTGATTTTTTATCCTGCCTTTATTACTACACGTAGCTCAAGATGGCAAACATACATAATGCTCCTTCCTTCTCCTGTTTTCTCACAACAACCCGGTGAGGTAGGTTGGACTCAGAGAGAGCAAGTGGCCCAAAGTCACCCAGCTGGCTTTCATGCCTAAGGCAGAACTAGAATTCAGAGGCTCCTGGTAATTGGCCCAAAGTCACCCAGTTGGCTTTCATGCCCAAGACGGGAGTAGATCACAGCCTCCTGGTTTCTAGGCCAGCACCTTAACCATTACACCGAATTGGCTCATTTCCCAGGATTTGTACCGCAGTAAAAAGATAGAGGATCTGCAAGATATAATACAAAAGCTCAAGTTGACAGATGGGATGATGCAATCAAAGCCCCACACATTTTTAATGCCTCATGCATGCAAAAAAGTCAAGATGGCGGCAGTCACGACAATGCAATTAAAGCGCTTCTCACTTTGATTTCATCATCACAGCCATTTTGATTTTTTTTTTAAAAAAATGTATTTTGCGAACATCCCTGCTACAAAGTCAAGACCAAAGACATTATAGTACCAACTACCTCACAGGGTGATTGTCATGGGGAAAATAAGAGGAGGAAGGAGTATTAGGTATGTTGACTGCCTTGCATTGTTTATAAACAAGAACAGAAGGTGCTTTTTTTTCCAAAAGGCAACTGGATTATTTTTTGTTTGTTTTTGTTTTATTTTTATTCAAATAAAAAACAGTCCAGTTGCCTTTTGGGAAAAAGCGCAATTTTGCGATGACCGTGACCTGGATTACTGAGATTCTCCACAGACAAGAATAAAGGTAGGATAAAAAATGAAGTGGTGCGGGATTGATTTTATTAATTTAATAATAACAACAAACAAAACTTGGCTGATTTAAAAAGCTAAGCAATAATTCCTCCGGTTTTTAGCTGGATGGGCAACCACGAGAAAAGAGCGTAAAGGTTTAAAAAGTCAAAATCTGGAAAGCCAAAAGCTTCCCCAGAGGAAATAATAAAACCCAAGGCCAAGAAAACAAGATGCAGCAGATTTGTCCTGAAATCCCCAGGAGCTGAACATGACTTTAAGCATTTCTCTTCATCTTTACCATTTTCCCAACAGGGATTTCAAAATAAGTCACACACACACACACACACACACACACACACACACACACACAAACACACACACATGACTTCTTTGTCTCTCTCGTCAAAACAAGGAAGTGGTGACTTTTCTGTGGTGAGGCAAGTTAAAACCCCCCCGGCATCCGGCACATAATTTTCTCATTTTAATTATTTTTAGCTTGCCGACTGAGACTCCCCTAAAGCTTCGTTTCATCAGGCCAGAATTCAGTCTTCACCGGAGTCCCAATTTGAAGGCCAAAAAAATCCCTCAAAATTCATAAGCCTTGTTGTGAAATCTTAAGTGCGGCCATCACTTTTGTTTTCTGTTCACTTATCTGAAAGGCTTACGGAGAAAACCCACAACTTTGTGCTGTGCAATGTTTGTGCCAGCAGAAATGGAGGAAGAGGGGAGGGTTGTGGAAATTTGCAACTTCTCTAGGCCGGTGGAAATTCCCAGAGACAAGGAGTCTGGGTTTGAATTACTTCACCTTGAGAAAAACCGCAATGTTTTTCTCCCTTCTCTCAATTCCAGCAGCTCATTCTCTGGCCTCTCTCTGGCCTCCTTAAGTCATAAGACAGGCAGTCCTCGAGTTACAGCCGCAACCCAGCCCAACATTTACGTTGCTAAGTGACACATTTTGTGAAACAAGGTTTGCCCCATTTTACGACTTAACAGTAACGGTAACAGAGTTGGGAGGGACCTTGGAAGTCACCTAATCCAACCCCCCCCTTAGGGATTTTCTTGCCACCGTTGTTAAGTGAAGCAATTGTTAATTTAGTAACACGGTGGTGAGGCAAATCTGGGCTTCCCTGTTGGATTTTGCTTGTCAGAAGGTCGCAAAAGGGGATCGTGTGACCTCGGGACGCTGCAACCGTCGTAAATGTGAACCAGTTGCCAAGTGTCCGAATTTTATTCACATGGTCATAGGGATGCTGTAATGGTCGTAAGTGTGAAAAATGATCGTAAGTCACTTTTTTTCAGAGCCGTTGTATCTTTGAATGGTCACTAAATGAAGTGTTGTAAGTCGAGGGCTACCTGTAGGGGCAGTCCTTGACTTACGACCAGAAAGGGGACCCGAATTTCCATTGTTAAGAAAGGCAGGTATTAACTCAGTGGTGCCCAATCTTACAATCATTTTTGTCACAGTTATTAAGCGAATCATGCAGTCGTTAAGCAAATCCAGCTTCCCTCCTTGACTTTGCTTGTCGGAAGCCGGCTGGGAAGGTTCCCAAGTGGGGATCACAACACCCCAGGATGCTGCAATCGTTGTATGTGCTAGTTGCCCGAATTTTGATCGCAGGACTCTGGGGAATGCTGTGATGATAGTCGCAGGTGTGAGAACCAGTCGTAAGTCGCTTTTTCAGTGCCACTGTAACTTCAGTCACTAAATGAATGGTTGCAAGTCTAGGACTACCAGCATTCCTCCAAATCCTACCTCCGCTTTTCTTCGAAGATAACAGAATAACGGAATTGGAAGGGACCTTGGAGGTCTTCTAGTCCAACCCCGTGCTCGAGCAAGAAACCCTATATCAGTGTTTCTCAATCTTGGAAGCTTGAAGATGGGTGGACTTCAACTCTGTACTAGAGTAGACAGAGCCTGTAGTACAGTGGACTAAAGCACTGTTATTAACATCTGCTGCTTGCAATTACTGCAAGTTCGAATCTCCCCAGGCTCAAGGTTGACTCAGCCTTCCATCCTTTCAAAGGTAGGTGAAATGAGGACCCGGATTGTGGGGGCAATAAACTGACTTTGTATAAATATACAAAAGGATGAAGGCTATTGCTTAACACATTGTAAGCCGCCCTGAGTCTCCGGAGAAGGGCGGCATATAAATTAAAGCAAAAAAAAAAACAAAAAAAACCTCCCATAATCCCCCAGCCAGCGCTTTTTCCCTGCTGGCTGGGGGATTCTGGGAGTTGAAGTCCACCCATCTTCAAGCTACCAAGGTTGAGATACACTGCCCTACCCAATTCCAGACAAGTGGCTGTCCAGCCTCTTCTTAAAAGCCTCCAGTGATGGAGCCCCCCCAACATCTGGGAGAAAGCCACAGTCTGGGCCCCGAAGAATCCATCGGCCACCCCTGAGTGGGCAAACAAGCCACCATCATCAAACTCGACCGATTCCAACGAGAATTGCTGTCGGGGGGTGGGGGGTGGGGGCGGGAAGCGCAATCCCCAGCGGAGGAGCCCCGCGGTCTTCGCCCGGCCAGCTTGGGCCAGTGGCCCCTTTCTAGTGGCAGGGCAAGGCGAGGACGGCGGGGACCAACCGACCCACCGGACGACGCCAACGCCTCGAGAGACGCTCGGAAGTCGCCCGGCGGCGGTTAGAATGAAGGCGAGGGGGATTGTGGAGGACCGTCCCGGGCTCGGGGTGCAGTGAGCCGCGGTAGGTAGCCAGGCATCCAGCCGGCCGTCCAACCACTTAACTGGCCACTCAGCCGGCCGCCCAGCCAAGCGGGAGCTCAGGCAGGCAGGCAGGCAGCAACAGCAGCAGCAGAGGCGCTGCTCCCAGGGCAGCGGGGGGATTGTGGGGGACGGTCCCGGACTCGGGGTGCAGTGAGCCGCGGTAGGTAGCCAGCCACTCAGCCGGCCGGCCGGCCGGACACTCAACTGGTCACTCAACCGGCCGGCCGGACACTCAACTGGCCACTCAGCCGGCCGTCCAACCACTCAACCGGCCGGACACTCAACTGGCCACTCAGCCGTCCATCCAACCACTCAACCGGCCGGACACTCAACTGGCCACTCAGCCGGCCGGCCGGACACTCAACTGGCCACTCAGCCGGCCGTCCAACCACTCAGCCGGCCGGACACTCAACTGGCCACTCAGCCGTCCCATCCAACCCTCTCAGGCCGGCCGGACACTCAACTGGCCACTCAGCCGTCCATCCAAACCACTCAGCCGGCCGGACACTCAACTGGCCACTCAGCCGCCATCCAACCACTCAGCCGGCCGGACACTCAACTGGCCACTCAGCCGGCCGTCCAACCACTCAACCGGCCGGCCGGACACTCAACAGGCCACTCAGCCGGCCGTCCATCCAAGCGAGAGATCAGCCAAGCAAGCTCAGGCAGGCAGGCAGGCAGGCAGGCAGCAACAGCAGCAGAGGCGCTGCTCCCCGGGCAGGAAAAGGAAACCAAGCAAGCCAAAACAACAACAATAACAAAAAAAAACCCCAACCACGCAGCAGCCTCCGTCCGCCCCCTCGCGGGCTCCTTCTGCGCCCTGCCCGATCTTGAGTTCCTCGAACCGGTTTCGCCGGTTTAGCGATTAACTCCCCTTCCCCGCCCCTCCCGCCCAGCGCTTGCCCGGCAGACGCCTCCCCCGCTCCAAAAGCCCCAGAGCGCCGAGGCCACTCAGACGGGTCCTGCTTCCCCGACTTTCTCGCCTCCCTTGTGCCCAGCTAGCCCTGCCGGACCCCGGCCAAGCCCTTCCGCGCGCGATCGCCCGCCTTTCCTGCTTTTGTTGCAGCCCCAGCGCCGAAGCCGAGGAGGAAACTCAGCCGTCGGAGCGCCATGGCGCAGTTGTTCGGTCCTCGGGGTTGGCTCTTAGCCGCGGCCTTCAGCGCGACCCTCCGCTTCTCTCGTGCAGGTGAGTCGGATCGCGGGGTACCTGCATTCCCGCCCCCCTCCCCTCCTAGGAAAAGCAGGCTGGGTTCACACGCCACGGAAGAGGCTCCTTGTTGGAGGGTCAGCGCGGGTTGTGTGAACCCAGCGGGCAGAAGAACCTGGGTCGGGGGGGGGGGGGGGGGAAAACCTTTGGGGGGGCCCCCACCCTGGGAAACTTTAGGCGGGGGGGCCTCCACCCCCCGAATTCCCCCAGCCAGCAAGGCCCCCCCCCCCCCGGCTTAAAGTTGCCAAAGTTGGAGACCCCCTGGGCTAAAAGCGTGGAAAGTGTGGTCGTAAGTCGAGGACTACCTGTAGTCTAAAGCAGGGGTCTCCAACCTTGGCAACTTTAAGCCTAGCGGACTTCAACTCTCAGAATTCCCCAGCCAGCTTTCTGGGAGAATTCTGGGAGTTGAAGTCCGACAGGAGAGCTTTGCTGGCTGGGGGATTCTGGGAGTTGAAGTCCGACAGGAGAGCTTTGCTGGCTGGGGAATTCTGGGAGTTGAAGTCCCCCAGGCTTAAAGTTGCCAAAGTTGGAGACCCCTGGGCTAAAAGCGTGGAAATTGGGGTCTATAGAAATTCTCAGTTATCCAGGTCCTGCTTGTCCCCAAAGGTGCTTTTTTTTTTTTTTTCCCTCCAAGAGGCAACCGGACATTCTTGGTTATTTCTTTTGAAGACGTTTCGCTTCTGATCACCAGAGGTTTCTTCAGTTCTGGCAGGATAAGTGGGAGGAAATGGTGCAAAAAAATTGGTGCATATAAGAATATCGGGCCACGGCAGCCAGTTTCTTCTTCTTGCACAGGGGGGGAAAAAGGGGGGGTTTCCTTTAAAAAGTCACCCAGGAGAGTAAGAGGAGCAACTCCAGCTATGATGATCCTTCTGGCTGTTTTTTTAGGATCCCAACCTCCCAATGCTCTTTCTTATTTATTTATTTATTTATATTGATTGATTGATTGGTTGGTTGATTGGTTGGTTCGATTTATATGCCGCCCTTCTCTGGAGACTCAGGGCTGCTTACAATGCGTTAAGCAATAGCCTTCATACTTTTGTATATACCTGCTTAGTAGGGCTTTTGGGCCCCCTTAAGCGGTGTTCTTTTTTTATACAAAGTCAGCTTATTGCCCCCACAATCCGGGTCCTCATTTTACCTACCTCGGAAGGAGGGAAGGCTGAGTCAACCTTGAGCCCGGTGAGATTTGAACTTGCAGTAATTGCAGGCAGCTGGTGCTACTTAATTCCACTTTAGTCTGCTGCGCCACCAAGGCTCTTTTAGCTTTTACGGGCCCAATTTTCACTTTCGTTGACTTTCCCAGGGAAAATGCCCCCCCTCCCCCCGCGCCGGCTTGTGCACCCCTAACTAACCTTTGGACGGACGAGCAAAAAAAGATTGGCCAAGCCCGTTTTGTGTGTGTGTGCAGAAAGGCAATGAACCCTGGATAAAGGGGGGAGGGGGGGCTGGGGGGGTTGGGGGAAAAATGGGCTGTGACTGCAATGCAAAAAACAAACAAACAAAACCCAAACATTTTCTGCTGGGTTTCCTTTTTTTTTTTGTTTTTTTTTTTGAACCCGCTTACCCGACTCCGTTTGCCGGGGGGGGCAGGGGGTGTAGGACAGACGTTTCGTGCAGAGAAAGCTCCGGCTTTAGTCACTGGAAGAGAGTCAGGCGGGTCAGGCGAGAAACCATGCTGTGTCGTTGGACAAGTGTAATCTTGGTCTCCAGCGCTTCCTCTTTTTTTTTTTTCTTTCTTTTTTTTTCAAGGAACTCGCAGTTGAATGTTGACATTTCTGAGAGGAGGAGTTTTTTATGACTTAGAGATGGGGTGGGGGGAGCTGTTTTCTTTTTCCTCCACGGAGCAAAACTGAAGGTGGCAACCTTCTTCCTGGCTTCACAGAGACCTCAGTTTTAGCACAGCATAACCAATCTGGCTGGGACATGTTTGAATCTATCTATCTATCTATCTATCTATCTATCTATCTATCTATCTATCTATCTATGTTTGAATCTATCTATCTATCCTATGTTTGAATCTATTTATGTTTGAATCTATCTATTATGTTTGAATCTATCTATCTATGTTTGAATCTATCTATCTATCTATCTATCTATGTTTGAATCTATCTATTTATCTATGTTTGAATCTATTTATGTTTGAATCTATCTATCTATGTTTGAATCTATCTATCTATCTATGTTTGAATCTATCTATCTATGTTTGAATCTATCTATCTATCTATCTATCTATGTTTGAATCTATCTATCTATCTATGTTTGAATCTCTTTATGTTTGAATCTATCTATTATGTTTGAATCTATCTATCTATGTTTGAATCTATCTATCTATCTATTTTGAATCTATCTATCTATGTTTGAATCTATCTATCTATCTATCTATGTTTGAATCTATCTATTTATCTATGTTTGAATCTACCTATCTACCTATGTTTGAATCTATCTATCTATCTATCCATCCATCCATTCATCCATCCATCTATCTTCTGTCATCTATCTTTCCTTTTTTTTAATCTTTTTCTTTCTTTCTTGTCTATTATCTATCTATCTTCTATCATCTATCTATCTATATCTATCTATCTACCGTGTTTCCCCGAAAACAAGACCCTGTCTTATATTTTTTTGAACCCTGAAATAAGCGCTTGGCCTTATTGCCATGCACTCAAAAGCCCAATTGGGCTTATTATCAGGGGATGTCTTATTTGAGGGGAAACAGGGTATCTATCTCTAACTGTCCTTCTTTCCTTCCTTCCTTTTCTTTCTTTCTTCCTTCCTTCCTTGCTTGCTTCCTTTCTTCCTTCCTTCCTTCCTTCCTTTCTATCTATCTATCTACCTATCTATATCTTTTCCTTCCTTTCTTGTCTGTCTATCTGTCTGTCTGTCTGTCTATCTGTCTATCAATCTATCTATCTATCTATCTATCTATCTATCTATCTATCTATCTAATCTATCATCTAATTTGCTTGCTGCCCATATAGAATAACAGAGTTGGAAGAGGTCTTCTAGACCAACCCCTGCTTAAGCAGAAAACCCCATAGCATTTCAGACAAATGATTATCCAACCTCTTTTTAAAAACCTCCAGTTATGGAGCACCTACAACTTCTGGAGGCAAGTCGTTCCACTGATTAATGGTTCTCACTGTCAGGAAATTCCTCCTTCGTTCTAGGTTGCTTCTCTCCTTGATTAGTTTCCATCTATTGCTTCTTGTCCTGCCCTCAGGTGCTTTGGAGAACAGCTTGACTCCCTCTTCTTTGTGGCAGCCCCTGAGATATTGGAAGACTGCTATCATGTCTCTCCTGGTCCTTCTCTTCATCAAACTAGACATACCCAGTTCCTGCAACTGTTCTTATATATTTATTTCCAACTTTATAATCCAGGATTCACCACCATCCGTCTGACTGACCAGGAGGGCCCTATCCTTGAGGGCAACAATGTGACTTTGGAATGCCTGGTCAGTTATGGGGAAAATATGTCGGACTTCACCTTCCAAAAATACAGCAAGGTAGGTTAATCAAGGAATTTGCTTTGACCATGCCTGCCTTTAACAAGCAAGCCTCCGTTGATACCGTAGAATTAGAATGATTAGAATTAGGAATAGAAGGAATAGAATTAGAAATATGGAATAGAATAGAATAGAATAGAATAGAATAGAACAGAACAGAACAGAACAGAACAGAACAGAACAGAACAGAACAGAACAGAACAACAGAACAATGGAACTGAAAACAACAGAAAAAATAGAACGGAATAGAATAGAACAGAACAAAACAAAACAGAACAGAACAGAACAGAAAATAGAATAGAACAGAACAAAACAATAGAAAATAGAATGGAACAGAACAGAATAGAATACAGTACTTTATTTGGTCAAGTGTGATTAGACACACAAGGAATTTTGTCTTTGGTGCAGAAGCTCTCAATGTACATGCAAATCAACAGAGTAATAATAACCATAAGACGATACCAATACGATTTAGCTTATTAGTGTCCAACCTTGGCAACTTTAAGCCTTGTGGACTTCAACTCCCAGAATTCCCCAGCCACAAACAGTGAGCTGTTGCCAATTAAGGCTCCCGATCAACATTGATCTTTCTCCCATCTCCAGTGGCTCCGTTCTTGGATCTCTTTGGATCAATCTCACGACTTGCGTTGCTGGTTTTACGATGTCGCCGTGAGTCACGACAACGGGCGCCTCCTTCTGACCATCAGCGACATCCAATCTTGGCACGCCGGACCCTACCGCTGTGCCAGCCTGAATGCCACCGACAACACCACCGTCTCGGATGTACTGGACTTGCAGATGGAGTGTACGTGGGGGGTTTGGATTCCCCCTCTAGCCACCAGAGGGCAGTAGATAAACAGGAGATGAGGACTAGGAGATTGCGTTACCCTTTCCTCTTAGAAGACTAGGCCCCTGCAGTTCACACTCCGCATATCCTTGGGATCTGCAGTAGAGTGTTTAGCTGAAGAAGACCGAGAATGGAAAGAGAGGGATTTGAAATGCCAATAAAAAGCACATTTATGAGCGGAGGGAAAAAAATACTCTCCTAGGCACGGTTGATTCTCAATCAGCACGGTGCCATTAACAGGACAGATTTAGAAGCAGAAGCAACTGATGTGTAGCCATGCTGGTTCTTTACAGAATGATATATGTAGGTGGGAGGGGGGGGATCGATGGAAAACCACTTCTGAGCCCCAGCAACGGAGACCCTGAACCCCCACCAGGCTGGCATTCCGAATTAAGAAGGGGCGGGGATGATGGGAAAGGAGGAGGACTGACTTTCGTTGTCTTCTCCCCCTTCCTCAGATCTGCACAAAGTCTTCATCAGCCAGTCCAACTCCTGGTGTGGTACGGTAGGAGACTCCATAACGGTCCTTGAAGGCGACAGCCTGCAACTTCAGTGTTCAGCGGACGCCTCCAAGGCACCGCTCTACGAGTGGATTCGACAGGTAAGAGAGCCGGAACAAGACTTCAGAATGGAGCAGGATAACAGAGTTGGAAGGGACCTTGGAGGTCTTAATTTAATTTAATTTAATTAATTAAATTGATATGCCGCCCCTCTCTGAAGACTCAGGGCGGCTCACAATACATTTTAAAAAATAATTATAAAAAAACATTGAAGAATTAAAAACATTAAAAACTCATTCACGCCATTCATGGCCGGATCTCGCCAGATCACAAGAGCGAGATCAACGGCCCCAGGCCTGCCGGAAAAGCCAGGTCTTCACTGCTTTCCGGAAGGCCAATAGGGTGGGGATGGTCCGGACCTCAGGAGGTAACTGGTTCCAGAGAGCTGGGGCAGCCACAGAGAAGGCCCTCCCCCGCGGGTCCACCAGCCGGCATTGTTTAGCTGACGGGACCCGGAGGAGACCAACTCTGTGGGATCTTACCAGTCGCTAGGAGCTATGCGGTAGAAGGCAGTCTCGAAGATAACCTGGCCCTGAGCCATGTAGGGCTTTAATGGTAATAACCAACACCTTGATGGCGAACCTATGGCATGCATGTACATGCACACACGTTCTGGTTTGGGCACTCGGAGCTGAAAAGGTTCGCCATCTCTGCCCTAGAAACTCCAGTTGCCTTTTTAAAAGCACCTTTGGGACAACCATAACCTGGATGATTGAGCATCTCCATAGACACTTTCCCAAATTGTCTTTTCAGGTGTCAGGAAGCTAGCGGAGTTTGACAGCTTCATGATGTAGATCAAAAGCTTTCTCTTATCTGTGTTTTTTTTTTTCCCCTCCTATAAATAGGGAGATGACTGGATCCTGCCCTCAGGTTCCTTAACTCTCTCCAAGATAACCCAGGAGCAAGCCGGGACCTACACTTGCCAGGCCCACCATCCAACTTTGCCTCAGTTGACCAAGAGCAAATCAATCCGTTTGCTGGTGGAGAGCACCAAGCGCAGCTTCAGTTTTGGTGAGAAGCCCTGAATTTGGACGTCCAATATGAAGTCTGGCCACTTGGTATCTTCCATATTTGTTGGGAGAACTTCCAGGAAAAGAGCCCATCAGCTGTTGAGACCCTTGTTGAGTTCCATCATCTTTAACTAGGAACATCTGAGCTTCTCCACGCAGCAGCGACCCTCTGACCCAATCAAGCCCATTTCTCATTTCCTGCTGCCACAAACAACAATATTTACAGTCCAGCCTTGCATACGATTACCTAGAAATTAAATCCTGCTGTTTAGGAGGAGTTTCTTGCGGACAACGTTTCTGTGGGATTGAGATCATAGATGGCTTTCCACAAAAAAGAGGCCACCAAAATGTTTTCAGCTAAGACTAGCTTGCTGTGTGGACATAACCATGTTGGTTTGTAAAACATAGTTTGTATGGCCTGGTAAGTAGGCCATGCAGCCAACTTCTTGTGGTTTGCTCAGACTACGATTAAACAATGACTTAGTATGATCTAGGAAACAGGCTGTTTGATTTGGATCTAGATTTCATCAGCCCGGCCTCCTCATTCATCTTCTTGAAAGTTGAAAGAGTCATAAAACGAGTCTCTTCAGTAGGACTCTTTTTAGGACCAATTAAGGCTCCTCTCGTTGAGGGACATGGTGGCTCAGTGGCTAAAACACTGAGCTTGTCGATTGAAAGGTCGGCAGTTCAGCGGTTCGAATCCCTAGTGCTGCATAACGGGGTGAGCTCCCATTACTTGTCTCAGCTTCTGACAACCTAGCTGTTTGAAAGCACGTAAAAAATGCAAGTAGAAAAATAGGGACCACCTTTGGTGGGAAGGTAACAGCGTTCCGTGAGCCTTTGGCATTTAGTCATGCCGGCCACATGACCACGGAGACGTGTTCAGACAGCGCTGGCTCTTCAGCTTCAAAACGGAGATGAGCACTGCCCCCTAGAGTCGAAAACGACTAGCACTAGATGTGCGAGGGGAATCTCTACCTAGGGCTCCTCTCAGATTGACTCTTTCGAAGTGATCAGTGTCCCTCAGGCAACGTAGTTAATTTGTAACACAACCTTCTTTTAGTAATGGCAGTATTGCAATAAATATAAAGGCCTCGTAGGATCACATGTAGATCACATGTAGATTGTGACCGGCTATAAGCTGAGGGCATATACCATTCCAGCATCTGATTTTTTTTTTCCCCAGTATAAACGGTGGTGCGTTTCAATGGTTAGATGGCCTAGACCAGGGGTGTCAAACTCACGGCCCGCGGGCCAGATGCGTCACGTACTGGCCACGCCCACCCCCAGTTTAGCGAAGGGGTAAAGTCGCAATATGTCACGTGACGACAACGTGACACCATGAGTTTAACACCCCTGGCCTGGACATCGGTATTTGAACATGGATCTTTTTAACATTTATATTTTATTACATTTTACAGATCTAAGTGAAATGTTAATATATATATATTGCTAGTCCATGCATGATAAAGGTAAAGGAGTCCGCTAGTTGTTGCCAATTATAGGGGGCAGTACTTATCTCCATTGCAAGACCATAGAGCCAGCACTGTCTGAGGACATTTCTGCGGTCATGTGACCAGCATGTGATGTCACGGAGCGCTATTACCTTCCCACAGAAAGGGTACCTATTTATCTACTCTCATTTGCGTGCTTTCGAACTGCTAGGTTGGAAGGAGCTGGGGCGAGGACGGGACCTCACCCCGTTGAGTGACGCTCGGGTCTCAAACCTGGGCTGCCGGCTTTCCCGCTGCCAAGCCCAGTGTCTTAACCACAGAGGCTGCTCCCGTGTATGACATGCCATACGCTAAGTAAATAAATAATCCTATTAGGTTTGCAGTAGTGGTGAATATCTGTAGCTCGAGTGTAGGATGAGGGTGAACGTTCGTTCCCCAAGCTTGTGGGTTGGTTCCTGAACGTTTATAGTTACCAGGTTAGGTAACATCTTCAGTGGAAATTTAGGGGATGTCAGAACACTGACACCCCCTAAATCCAGGGGTGGGATTCAGCCGGTTTGGACCAGTTCGGGCAAACCAGATGCTAATTTGACATCTGATTCAGATGTAAACCAATAGATGCAAGGACTGGCTGGCCTTGCCCACCCTGCCCCTCCCCTCCCAGGAGTCTCCACGTGGCCTGTTTTGGATGCTAGGTAAGTGCAGGGCTCTGGGAGGGCGAAAAACGGGCCTCCCGGAAGTTCCCGGAGGGCCTTCAGAGCTTGGGGGAGGTCATTTTCGCCCTCCCAGAGGCTCGAGAAAGACCTCCGGAGCCTGGGGAGGGCAAAAATGCCCCCACTGTCGTGATGCAGGAGGCTGAGTAGGTCACGCCCCCCAGCAACCAGGCAGAGAACCCCTTGCTAAAATTTTTGAATCCCACCCCTGCCTAAATCTCCGCTAAAGATGTTACCTAGCCTGGTAACGAAACTTTCAGAAACCCAGCCACAAGCTCGGAGGATGAACCTCCGCCCTCAAACCTATTAGGATCCAGACACTCCATGTAGCGTGGCACGTCCTTTACGGGAGAAACCTAATGAAAACCACCCTCTGAAACCAGCCCTGCCTAATTTGAAGGCTTGCTGGGGCCACTCCTCTTTTAATAACAGCGTAGCTGCCGTCTCCCTGCGGGTGATCCCGTGGGCACGGCTGACTGCCCTTCTCTGTCCTCTAATGGAGGCAGATGGGTGGAGGGCACCGGGGCCGGTTCCCATTTTTGTCGCTGACCCTTTGTCTTCTCCAGAGTCCGTGATGTCCCTCAGCACCCCAATGCTGGCCCTGGCGGTGGCCCTACCAGCCGTGCTGTTGCTGCTGTTGATCTTGATCTTCGCCTTCCTCATTCCACGTCACCGGGCAGCTGTCCAGAAGAAAATGGCTTTGTGAGTGTCCGGTGGGATTTTTGGGGCTGCGGTGGTCAGAGACATGCCTGCTCTGGTCCCAGGTAGTCTTCGGAGAGGGGCGACATATAAATTGAATTAATTAAATTAAATTTGAATTATTATTTTTTTTTTTTTGGCACCCAAAATTTGGCCTGTCCCACCCAAGGACATTAGCTACCATTCCTGTTAGTGCTAATAGGGGCTCATCGCAAATAGCGGAATCTAACCTATGGACTCACAGAAGATGGAATTGGTCGTGATCATTTCACGACCTGAGGAGCCTGAGTGGCGTAGGAGGCTAATGCCTCCTACTAAGGCAGCATTTAGCATCCAGCTGCCTGCAATTACTGCGAGTTCAATTCTCCCCAGGCTCAAGGTCGACTCAGCCTTCCATCCTTTCTAAGGTGGGTAAAATGAGGACCCGGTTTGTGGGGGCAATGAGCTGACTTTGTATAAAAAATATACAAAAGTATGAAGGCTATTGCTTAACGCATTGTAAGCCGCCCTGAGTCTCCGGAGAAGGGTGGCATATAAAAATAAATAAAAATAAAATAAAAATAAAAATTTCTCCTTTAAGCAGAGCTTAAAGTTGATTCTGCAGGTGCAGAGAATTCAGTTCCAGCCAAAACATTGTTTTTTACAGAAGGTTTTATAGAATATATAGGATGGAGGTGGGATGGAGTGAGGAATAGAATAGAATAGAATAGAATAGAATAGAATAGAATAGAATAGAATAGAATAGAATAGAATAGAATAGAATAGAATAGAATAGAATACTATCATGTCGCCCCTAATTATTCTTTTCTTTAGACTAGCCCAGGGGTCAGCAACCTGCGGCTCTGGAGCCGCATGTGGCTCTTTCACCCCTCTGCTGCGGCTCCCTCTCACTCAAAATATGTGTCACAATCGCCAATGTGTGACACCCGCCGACACACGATTTATTGAGCTTTTCAACCCCTGGATAAATCCAAGAAAAGAAAAGTTTCAGAAGAAAAACAGAACGTTTAATTCAACTACATGTGCTAATTTTGTGGCCGCTCAAGAAATAGTCAGGCACGGGAAGGATTTTGTGGCTCCCGGTGTTTTCTTTTCTGTGGGAAACGGGTCCAAATGGCTCTTTGAGTGTTTAAGGTTGCCGACCCCTGGACTAGCCGGACCCCTTGCTTTGGGTCTTCCTACTGCTGAGTTTAACAGAGACTTACTGAGCTACCTCTGGGAAGTGGGAATGGATAAACAAGCACGGAGGAACCAGTAACATCGTTTGCCCCTGTTCCTCAGACCAGACCAGGCCGTGTGTTGCTCAGATTGTGTGTTTATGAATCAGAAACGGTTAACGTTGGTCTTTTCCTTCATAGGGAGGAATCTGGCCAGCGAACTCCCATTTACAAAGGCAGCCTCGACTCTGTGCCTTCCGTTGGGGGAGACACCCAGCCTCTGGTGATGTGAAGCAGATACCGCCGGTTAGTAAACTTGTACAGCGCGATCTCTTTCTTCTGAAATCCTGGGGAAGATCTCTTCATTCTTGATTTAAAGCCTGTTAGAGATTCTCAGTCATCCGGGTCACGGTTTGTCCCCAAGGTGCGTTTTTTTTTCAGGAGGCAACTGGACTTTCTTGGGTTTTTTTTCCTTTTGAAGACGTTTCGCTTCTCATCCGAGGAGCTTCTTCAGCTGTGACAGGATAGTGGGGATCTGGAAGAATTTATATTCAGGGGTGGGCTTCAAAAATTTTAGCAAGGGGTTCTATGCCCAGTTGCTGGGTGGATGTGGCCATGGTGGGCGTGGCCCAGGGGTGAAATCCAGCAGGTAAATTATTTAAATCCCGCCACTGTTTAAGATGTGTGAACTTCCAACTTCTAGAACCTCCACACTGACTGGGGAATTCTGGGAGCTGAAGTCTACACACACACACATCTTAAAAGTTGTCAAATTTGGTAAAAAATTGGAGTTAAAATATTCTTTGCAACAACTACCAGCTGTGTTAACTTTTTTTTCCTCCCTTTTCGGTAGGATGAAACGAACTTTTTCAAGATCCAACTTTTCTTCCTGTATTGAATATGGACTGGCGGCAATATCTTTGGTGTACAGTAACTGGTTGTTTTTGTGTATATTTGGGGGAATTGTTATCTTGGCTTTTTGGGGGGGAATCTGTTTGGAAGAATTGAGGGGGGGCAGCAGTGATATTGGGGTTCCTACGAATCTCTCCTTTCCGGCTACATTAGCTGCTCTTTGCCTGCCATTCTGTTACCCTTTTTAGGCTAAAATACTATTGTTTTTTTTTCCTATGGCTCATTTGGCCAATATCTGCCCTGACCAGCATTACTTCTTTCATGTTTGGACAGATGCTGACTCTTTAATATTTTTACTTTTTAACTTCGAGTTAATGATTGAAGAATAAGGCACTGGGATATTACACAGTTTGTTTGTTGAAAATAAACAAACATTTGCTCTTTTTTTTTTACAATCGTGCTTGTTCTCCAGCAGAAGAAAATTTGTAATAAAAGAGAGAAGCCCTATTTTTTTTTTAAAAATGAATCCTATCGAAGACAGGAAAACTCCGATTATGAAAGGCAAAGTTGACATTCTATAACCAAGAGGAGGATCAGACCCTCCAAAATTGGTGGGGAGGGGGTGGGGGTGGAAGGGAAGGCAGATTAACACTGTATCCACATCAAGGTGTTTTGTTTTTTCTTGTTTGGAGTGTATTCTGCACCCCATCTCCTCAATTTCATTCATGCATGGTCCTCGGTAAGTCCCTTTGCAAGAGACTGCAAATATATTCTCACCTTTTCTGCAAAACGCAGCATTGGAAACACGGAGGGATATAAAACAATCGCTTATTATTTTACGAACCTTGCAAAAAGTCTTCCCTCTCTTTGGCCTGTGGTTCAGTCCAACATCTTGTTGGATGAGAATATATATATATTCTCCAACATTTTGTTGGAGAATATATATATATATTCTCCAACAAAAGGAGAATATATATATATATTCTCCTTTTAGACTCTTGCCGTCATCCAGAGTCGTCCTGCAGCTCTCCATCCCTGACCCAGAGGGGTGTTTTTGTTAGAGCTTTGTGTTCAGTCTTAAGGTGATAATGCCTTGAATTTCAGCGGTGTTTTGCTATTATTTGCATACAAGCGCATGCAGAGGAAGGGGAGGGCAGTTGGCGTACGGAGGACCCAGTATATATCATGCTGTCTCCGCACTATGCAGTTTAAATGTCCCCCCATCCGGCACTTCCTTTCATCAAAATAAAAAATAACAGAATCTTGCCACGGTAGCGGTTCGGAGCGAGTGGCAACAGGGTTCCCCCCCCACCCTTTTATCACCCGCATTGTCTACGGCGCCCCAGGGGGCTATAAACCAGGCCGAGCCAAAGACAGCGCAGAGCGGTGTTTCCCCCAACTTCTACCGAAACCAATCATAAAAGGCCTCCGTTGGATATTCAGTCCTCGTAAAAAACCCGCACCGTCTCTTCCATCTCTGGGTACATCAAAAGCTGGGCCTCTCCATCATGCCAAATCAGCGGTACTCCCATTATCGGGGAGAACAAATCGGGCAATGGGGTGATTACGGTTAGGGGTTGTTTTGCATCTTCCCCAGAGGCACCCCTCTTATGCCAAGGTGTACCACCTGGTCTAGGGTAACCCCTAGTTATCCATAGACAATCCAGGATAACTGGATTGCCTTTCAGAATTTATGTTCTTGTTCTTTTTTTTTTTTTTTTAAAGTGGGGGGGGGAGCTATTGCTTGCTTTTCCAATATAGTTAAAACAAAATGAACTCCGCTTTTTAAGAAGGGTCTTATCCCCAGGGAAGAGGGAACCTGTGAAAGTTAACATGGAATATAATAAGCAGAGTGGAGTCTTATACACTGTTGCAGTGTTTCTCAATCCGAGCCACTTTAAGATAGGGGGATTTCAACTCCCAGAATTCCCCAGCCATGACAGGCAGACTTCAACTCCCAGAATTCCCCAGCAATCACACAGGGACTTCAACTCCCAGCATTCTCCAGCCATCACAGGCAGACTTCAACTCCCAGAATTCCCCAGCAATCACACAGGGACTTCAACTCCCAGAATTCCCCAGCCATCTCAGGCGGACTTCAACTCCCAGAATTCCCCACTCATTACGTGTGGACTTCAACTCCCAGCATTCTCCAGCCATCAAGCATGGACCTGAACTCCCCAGCCAGCATTCTGGTAGTTGAAGTCCACACCTCTGAAAGTTGTTGAGCTAGAAAAATGTGGATCTATTAGGGAGTTGATAACTGCCATGATATTTGGGCTGTAAAAAAAGAAACGGCCAGAGAAATCAACCACGTTCTGACATAAGGTGATAACCTGGTTCGTAAAACATGTGAGGACAAGACAACATGTTGGATTTCTACAATGCTGAGTCATAAACTACCCAGTCTTCATTTAGCTTATCCTAGGATATTGTGAAATTTACATTATCCGCTTTTATCAAGGCGCCTGTTCTTTGACAGCTCTATACTAACAGCAATGAAGCCAGATAAGTGTGTGTGTGTGTGTTTTCTGCACCAGATTTGCATGTCATGCTTGTCATCTGGAAATGGAATGCAGCCAAATTCCTTTCCCCAACAGGGCATCCTTTCAGCTTTCAGGGGAGGGAGGTGGGCATGGTTTCAACAGCAAAGATTGACAGCCTGGGTCAATTTTCTCTCGGATGTATAAAAGATTAGATCGTAAAAGAGCAATGCATTTTAAGAAGCGGTGGTTACATCTACAGATTCAGAGAAACGGGTGCCCCTCGAAATTGCAAGTTCCTTGCCACCTGGGCTCACCTCCGCCCTCCACCTGGGTGTCCTCTCAAATTGTGAAGCTAGAATAGTAGCTGGCAAAAATGGCACTTTAGACTGGGTTGTACATGAGGCCATCCTGAGCAAATCCATCTGCCAGACTTCCCTTCCTTTGCCAGGAAAGAAGACGTAGCAGAGGTCCCTCAGCTCCTCCTTCATTTCCCATCTTGTACTCTGGATCTGTTCTGCAGACATATAGCATGCCTCTAGATTCAGCTTCCCAACAGGAATGAATACCCTAAGATTGAATATATATTTTTCAAAAATATATGCCCAACCAATCTTGCCAGGAGGCCACCAAGAAGAAAACTCACCGTCCACCCATCTGATGTTTGGCCCAAATCACCCAGCCGGCTTTAATGCCTAAGGCAGGACTAGAACTCACCGTCTCCTGGTGATTGGCCTAAAATCTCCAATCATCCCTAAGAGGGGACTAGAACTCACCGTCTCCCGGTATTTGGCCCAAAGTCACCCAGCCAGTTTTCATATATAAAGCAAGACTAGAACTCACTATCTCCTGATGATTGGCTCAAAGTCACCCAGCTGGTTTTCATACCTAAAAGAAGACTAGAACTCACCATCTTCCAGTGATTGACCCAAAGTCATGCAGCCGGTTTTCATGTCTTAAGATAGGACTAGAATTCACTGTCTCCCAGTGATTGGCCCACCCAGCCACTTTTCATGCCTAACACAGACTAGAACTTACTATCTCCTGATGGTTAGCCCGGTCACCCAGCTGATTTTGATCCTGAAAATGGAACTAGAACTCACAGTCCTGGTGCTTAGCCAAAAATCACGCAGTTGTCTTTCGTGCCTAAGGTGGGACTAGAACTCACCATCTCTTGGTTTCTAGGCGAGGCCAAACTGGCATCTCATCTCCTGCCCTCCCTGATGCCAACCAACCTCACTGCTTAGTTTAATTCTTGTTTCAACCTCGCACTTTAATCCTGGATGACAAGAGGAAGAGCAAATGGCTCTATTATACCTCTGCCACGGCCATGCCCACAAGTGTGGCACAAGTGAGCTGATGAGGATTCATAGAGAAGGGGGCCCATGTTTAGATAGGGAAGGCTCCCGTACTCCACAATTTCATGTTGGAGGCTTCACACCCCCACCCCCACCGAAAGGTTGGAGGTAGATTGGATTAGGCAAACCAATGAAGCCAAAGAGCAGAAGGCTGCAAAGATGCTTACCTGTTAATGAGCGAAATGAGATTCGTTAAGAACAATTTCCTTCTTAAGATGAGTTTTGCTGCCCCAGTGAGCAGACACCATCCATCTTGGCTCTGGCAGCTGCCATAATTTTTAGCATTAGGGACAGACGGGCCCATTGGTTTTGATTCAGAAAAGGGCAGGAGAGCAAAATGGGACCAGGAAACCTGGGAAATCATTGCAAATCAAAAGGCCACTACAAGGGCAGGGAGGATGGATCCGTTTCTATCCTCCTGGCATTTATTTTTTTAGTGATCATCTAAAATAACCATTTAGAAAAGCTGCTCTTCCTCTCCAATATGGTGTGTATAACAGTTTATAAAACTGAGATAAATTTACTGGCAAGCAGCAAAAATAGGAACCCACAGTCTGTGAATCCCAAATGAGAACTAAGGATGCGGAGTCCAGGTGGTGCAGTGGTTAAATGCAGTATTGCAGGCTAATTCTGCTCACTGCCAGCAATTCGACCCTTACCAGTTCAAGGTTGGCTCAGCTTTCCATCTTTCCGAGATGGGTAAAATGAGGACCCAGATTGTTGAGGACAATAGGCTGACTCTGTAAACCGCTGAGAGAGGGCTGTAAAAGCACTGTGAAGCAGCATATAAGTCTAAGTGCTATTGCTATTGCTATTGCTATTGCAGCGTTCCCTGACACGATGCCTTCCAGATTGCTTGGACTACAGTTCCCATCTGCGGGTGGGCTATTGGCATTGACTGGGACTAGTGAAAGTTGGAAGGGAAAAAACTTACAAGGAATATCACTTGGGAAAGTTAGATTTGGGAGAGAATTCGACTAGAAGACTTCCAAGGTTCCTTCCAACTCGATTATTCTGAAATTCTGTACTGTGTATAGTAGATTCACTTGAAATTATGAAGTTCATGGGATACTACGGTGTTTCCCTGAAAATACGACCTACTCCGAAAGTAAGTCCTAGCTTGATTTTTACATGTGTGCCCAATATACCGTATTTTTCGGAGTATAAAACGCACCGGAGTATAAGACGCACCTTAGTTTTTGGGGAGGAAAATAAGAAAAAAGCTGATTGTCAGGTGGATCGGCCTCCCCGAATACTCCCAATCAGCTGTTCCCAGAGGTGAATTTTAGCAACAGGTTCCTTGGTTGTGAGCTCTGTGCCTTGCTTTTTTTTTTTTTTTGCTTTTTTTTCTGCCTCTGAAACTTCTGAAACTCTGTTTCAGAAAAAACTTTTTTTCCTGCCTCTGAAAGCCACCGAAACAGAGCTTCAGAAAAAAAAAAGCCTCTGAAGCTCTGTTTGGGGGCTTCTTTTCTGAAGCTTCGTTTCTGATGCTTTTTTCAGCCTCTGAAACCTCCGTTTGAGAAGCTGGGCGGGGATATATTTGGAGTATAAAACACACCCAGATTTTCACCCTCTTTTTTGGGAGAAAAAGATGTGTCTTATACTCCGAAAAATACGGTAAGCCCTACCCCCCAAAATAAACCCTAATTAAAACCCCACCCACTCCAGGGTGCATGGGTAAAATTTAAGCTAGGGTGAGGATAGGAGGATGGAGCTGCCCTATTACTTACCTTCAGACAGTTGCAGCCAGGCCTCGCACACCCAAACACCTGCCTTGCTGGCCCATTTCTTCTGCAGCTGGCAAGGCCGGCAAGGCTTTCCTGAAGGCCTCTACAGGTGTTAACAGACTGTTATCAGCTGCAGAGGCCTTCTGTAGAAGAAATGGGTGTAAGGCCTCTGACAGCGAAAAGGAGGCTGGGGGTGATGCACGCAAGTGAGGTGAGTCAGTGGACAACATCTCCCCCAAAAATAAGACCTGGTGCCTTTTTTGGTGGAAAAAAAATATATAAGACAGGTCTTATTTTCAGGGAAACACGGTAATTGGAAGGGCCCAGACTTATCTAGAATGAAAATCAAGAGGAAAGTTGTGATGATGATATAATCCAAAGAACGGACATTCAGCCAAAGACGTTTGAGGCTAATTCTGGTGGGGAAACGATAGTTGCAACATCAGTGAAGCATGCTGCATGGTTGGGCAGTTTCTGCGGCTTTGTCCCCAGTATTTCGGTGCCGTTGTTGCTTCCATAAAAGGAGCTGCAAACCGTAGAATTTATACCATCTTGTTTAACATTAAATCCCCACCCACCCACTTCTCCGATTGTCTTAAAATATATTTTTCCTGGGAGTTCCCAGCTGAAATATTTTCCAGCAGAAGAATTTTGTACAGGATGACAGATGGGAACGCTGGGAAGGAACCCTCTGGGGTAATAAAAATCAGAGCGAAGGAAAGAAACGGAAGGCAGCGGAAAGCGCAAAGCGCCAGAATGCCGGCTCTATTTCCAGCGGAATCGGACTTAAAATATTTTGTTGCAAGATTTCGGCTGAACCACCAGCAGCACAAAATGTGGCCACAGGGTGTGGGGAGCGACGAAGGCCGCAAGATGGTTAAGACGCAGCTACGAGAACATGAGGACCTCGAGTAAAGTCTGAGCAAAGAGCACAAGAGCCTTGGTAGTACAGTGGTTTAATGCACCCTGTTATTAACACAGCTGCCTGCAATTTCTGCAGGTTCAAATCTTACCAGGCTCAAGGTTGACTCAGCCTTCCATCCTTTCTAAGGTAGGTGAAATGAGGACCCAGTTTGTGGGGGCAATAAGCTGATTTTGTATAAATATACAAAAGTATGAAGGCTATTGCTTAATGCACTGTAAGCTGCCCTGAGTCTCTGGAGAAGGGCGGCATATAAATCAAATTAAAAAATAAAATAAAAAAAATTCATGGTGGTTGCAGGGAAAGGACCCGCCAAGGATACTACAGGCCGTCCTCCACTTACAAATGAGCCCCAAATTCCTGTTGCTAAGCAAGACAGTATAGTTTCGCCCCATTTTACAACCTTTCTTGCTACAGTTGTTAAATGAATTTGTCGTCCCCCGTTGACTTTGCTAGTCAGGTCGCCAAAAGGAGAACACGTGACCTCAGGACACTGCAACCGTCATAAATACGAGCCAGTTGCCAAAAGTCCGAATTCTGATCACATGACTATGGGGAATGGCTGCAATGGTTATTGTGTGTGAAAAATGGTCCTGAGCCTTGGTAGTACAGTGGTCTAAAGCACCCTGTTATTAAGACCAGCTGCCTGCAATTACTGCAGGTTCGAATCTCCCCAGGCTCAAGGTTGACTCAGCCTTCCATCCTTTCTAAGGTAGGTAAATTGAGGACCCAGTTTGTGGGGGCAATAAGCTGACTTTGTATAAATATACAAAAAGGATGAAGGCTATTGCTTAACGCACTGTAAGCCGCCCTGAGTCTCCGGAGAAGGGCGGCATATAAATCGAACCAATAAATAAATAAATAAATAAATGAAGGACTTACCTGTGGTGGAGGCCTCATTTGAATCCCTCCTCAGGAACACAGCTTGCTACTCATCCAAACTCCCTTGCAAAGTTATTAAGAGAATGCGCAGGAAGGTGCTTTGGGGAGCAAAAAAGGATCTAGACCAGTAGTGTCAAACAAACTCAGTTTCATTGAGGGCTGAATCAGGGTTGCACTTGACCTCGGGGGGGTGGGGGGTGGACATGGCCCGGATGGACATGGCCAGTTCAATGTCACTTGTGTCAGAGGTACCTGTGGCAGCCCGAGCACTTTGCCAGAGAAAACGGGCTCCCAAGCTCCATTTTTGGCTGTGACGGCATCCTGCAACCCTCCGCCAGCGAAAATGGAGTTTGGGAAGGCAGCCCTCCCAAGCTCCGTTTTTGCTGGCAAAGGCATCACACGCCAGTTCTTTGCTGTTTCCAGGGGAGCCCCGGAGGCCACATCTAAGCACCGTTTAGATCCGGGCCCCGGGACCTTGAGTTTGACACCCCCGATCTAGACTGATCTACTTCTGTAGTGTGATCTACCCCTGCCGTGTGGATCCTTGGGGAAGCAAGCAAATCTCTAATTTCCCTTTCTGAAAATAGCACTAATCTCTAGAAACAGCCCAATATTAAAGTCCAAGGGTGTGACTCATCTGGCACAGCTGATGTTCCTGCTTTATTTATTTATTTTATTCCACCTTTATTTATTCATTTTATTCCACTAAAACCTTATGGTAGGACTCAACAAGCACAAATGTAATGTCTAATTATGGATAAGGTACCAACAGTGCTGGAGCTTGTAGGCGGGCTGTCATTAATTCTTTTAAAACGTAGGCAGTCCCAATGCTTTCTAAGTCCTCAGAGTATTGCAGAGTTGTGTGTAACAATGTCAACCTCTTCCAAATTGTTGCAATCTCTTACTACTACAGTAGTAGTAGTACTCTGGGCTTAGGTGACGGTTCAAAGTTCCAGGGGCATTGAAAACGTCATTTACGACCGTTTTTTTCACACTTACGACCCTTACATGCTCACGTGATCGAAGTCCAGAGGCTTGGCAACTTGACTCGTATTTATGACAGTTGCACGGTATCTTGGGGTCCTGTGAGAGCCTTTTTGCGACCTTCTGACAAGCAAAGTCAGAATCCGGGGGAGGCGGATTGGCTCAGCCACCGTGTTGCTGGCATAACAACTGCAGTAGTTCGTTTTGACAAAATGGGGCAAAAAAGGTCGTACAACGGGGGCAAAACTCATTTAACAGATGACTTGCTTAGCCACACAAATTTTGGGCTCAATTGCGGTTGTAAGATGAGGACTACCTGCCATCTCCTCTTCCACAAGAGAGCAGCAGTCAAATGCCCCCATTTAGCGATGGCTCTTTCTGAGGGCATCAGTCTGGGCAGAGGCTGGCCTTCCAAGTGCCACACGACCCCATTGCTGTGTTTACTGTGGGCACCTGTGAAGTCTGAAATTGAAAATAGCCTAGTGCAGGGGGGTTGGGGAATTATGGGCCTTTTATGGCTTGTGCACTTCAACTCCCAGAATTCCTCAGCCAGTATGGGGAACTATGGGCCTTTTATGACCTGTGGACTTCAACTCCCAGAATTCCTCAGCCAGTATTGGGGACTATGGCCTTTATGACCTGTGGACTTCAACTCCCAGAATTCCTCAGCCAGTATGGTGAATTATGGGTCTTTTATGACCTGTGGACTTCAACTCCCAGAATTCCTCAGCCAGTATGGGAAATATGGGTCTTTTATGACCTGTGGACTTCAACTCCCAGAATTCCTCAGCCAGTATGGGGAATTATGGGTCTTTTATGACCTGTGGACTTCAGCTCCCAGAATTCCTCAGCCAGTATGGGGAATTATGGGTCTTTTATGACCTGTGGACTTCAACTTCCAGAATTCCTCAGCCAGTATGGGGAATTATGGGTCTTTTATGACCTGTGGACTTCAACTCCCAGAATTCCTCAGCCAGTATGGGGAATTATGGGTCTTTTATGACCTGTGGACTTCAGCTCCCAGAATTCCTCAGCCAGTATGGGGAATTATGGGTCTTTTATGACCTGTGGACTTCAGCTCCCAGAATTCCTCAGCCAGTATGGGGAATTATGGGTCTTTTATGACCTGTGGACTTCAACTTCCAGAATTCCTCGCCAGTATGGGGAATTATGGGTCTTTTATGACCTGTGGACTTCAACTCCCAGAATTCTGGGAGTTGAAGTCCACAAGTCATAAAAGAGCCATTGTTCCCAACTTCTGGCCTAGTGGATGTATCCCATTATGTGCAGGTTGCCCCCCCCCCCCCCCCCCCCCCCCCCCGTTCTGCAACCTTCACTGCAGGCTTGTGCACGCTCATGAACAAGGATCGCACAACCACTGATGTTAAAAGAATTAATCAGGGGGATTTATTGAAGTATCAAAGGTGGTTAAAAGGCAGACATAGATATTTACATATATATTAACTTTCGGGCACGGGGGAAACAGTCTTGGGCTGCAGAGGAATAAGCCCCTCTGTACACATCCCAATCCCCAGTTATATATTAATTATTATATTTTTCCTTTTTTTTTTTTAATCTCCCCTTCTTTCCAAGACACAAACAATAAAAAATAAAAAAACTGCGAGCCAGAGACGGACACAGAATCACATGGTCAGTTTTCTTCTTCTGTTTTTTTTGTTTGCAAGTTTTCTCCCCAGACAAGAGACAAAGGGGGAAGGGATGTGGGGAGGGTGGGGGGAGAGATTTGCAGAGAGAACGGCAGGGAAGAGGGGAAGGGTGGGCATTTACTGGCACAAATGAGAAAAGTCGGCAAAAATCCTGGAAGGAACCATCGGGAATCACCAGGCGTTAGGACGTTTAGAGAATGTGTTGGAAATGCCCCGGGGGTGGGGGGTGTAGACCGGGGCGAAGCACAAGAAGGGGGCCGGGGAACGGCAGCTGCCTTGGGAAGGGTGAGATAGGAAAGGAAGTTCCCCAAAATTCAGCTATTCCAGGCATTATTATTATTTTTTTAAAAAAATCCACAGCAGTCCGTTGCAATTCTCCGTGGGGCAAAGCAGATATTTTTAAGAGTGGCTCCTGAACCCATCTTCTACCACAGCTGCATCTTAGAAGGTGAAGTTCATTGAAACAGGATCCAAGCCTGGGGCTGAGTAGTCTCTAACATTCTGGTTCTGTTTGTTTGTTTGTTTGTTTGTTTCATTTTGCAGAGCAGCCAAAATCAGCTTCTTCTGAAGGAGATGGACTGGGGAGAAGAGGAGGAGGAGGAGGAGGGAGAGGGAGAAGGGGAGAGGACGAGGAGTGGAGAGGAAAAGAGGAGAAGGAAAGCAGAGGAAGAGAAAGAGGAGGGGGGAGAAGAGAGAAGGAAAGAAGAAGAGGAAGAGGAGAGGGTAATCTAGGCCAGGGGTCTCCAACCTTGGCAACTTTTAAGACTTGTGGACTTCAACTCCCAAGAAAGCTGGCTGAAAGAATTCTGGGAGTCGGAAGTCCACAAGTCTTAAAGTTGCCAAGGTTGGAGACCCCTGATCTAAGCTACCTTGGGGTGTTGGGTCAGAGAGCAGGATGGTCATCACCACCTACACAAAAGGGAGGGAGGTAAGAGGAGGAGCTGGAGACAAGTAATCTGCATTCACCAATATATTTAAGCCGGCTGGACTTAAAAACATAACAATAAAAAAATAGCCACTTAGTCTTCCACTTTCCGCAGAAGCTGGCCCGAGAAAGCTGTGCTGCTGTCCAGGTGGACGGATGACGAGGGGTGAACATGGTGTGGGAATTGGATGCTCAGGTGGCCTTTGTGGGTCCCATTTCCTGCCGTCCGGCCAAGAATGTCACAATAACAAGGATGAGACAGACAGACAGACAGACAGACAGACACCCCCCCCGTCCTCTTCCTCCCTCCCTCGCCCTCCCTCGCCCTTCCCAAAACTATCATGGCTTTGAAGAAATAAAACCTGCTTCTGACAGCCCAAGAGTCCTCGAGCAGCTCGGCCCTGACCGGGAAAAGCATGCAGCCGAAAAGGATTTCCCCCCCACCCTGAAGAGACACCCCTCCCCCCTCAAAGACATCCCCAAGACGCCTCTCGGGCCAGACGGCCATCACGACGGCACTCCTGAATGGCGGGATGGCGGAGGGCGAGGGACGCAGACACAAGGTATCTACATGGTCATCCAGAACCCGGAACTCAAGATCAAGGGTTCTCCATCCATCCAGAAGACCGGGGTGGCCCCCAAAGCTACCCCCATTAGCCCTGCCCTCCCTCTCCAGATACTGTGAATCTCAGTGCTAATACCTGGGAAGGTCGGATATAACAAGCAATGGGGGGGGAGGGGGCACTGGGACGTCCCTCACCTTCAACATCCAATGGGCCTTCCACCTCCCGTTTGGACTTTATATACAAACAGCCCCTTTCCCCCCCACCCCTCAAAAGTACTGATTCCACCCCAAAGGGGGAAAAAAAATATGCAGCAGCTCTGCCCCCCATCCCGCTTTTTTTTTTTTCGAGGGGGTGGGGGACAGAGCTAAGCATGCCTACCCAGCCCTACCAAATTAACCAGGTGGGGATGAAAAGGTTTTGGTGGAAAGAGGCATCTGAAGGCAGAGGGGGGAGGGGGTGGAGCTTCCTGGATAAGGGGAGGGGTTAAAAAGTCCTCGGTTTCAAAAATCAAACCGGGAAAAGAGTGGCAGCTGCCGGTGGTCGGTTTTGTACACGATGGGGTTTTTTTTTTTTTGTATTCCTTAAAGCATCTTTTCGTTCGGGTATTTTCCGTTTTTGAAGCCAGCCCTCCCCACCACCCCCCACAAGCCGGCTTTTCTCCAATCTTCTCTCCCCTTTTCCAGCACGCACCCCTTCCTTCCTTCGCCAGCTTCTCCCCACACAGCACCCAACACCCCTTTCCCCCGCTTCTCCTCCTCCTCCTCCTCCTCCTCTTCCTTTCCCCGGCTTAGATGAAAAACTCCTCCTTGCGTTTATGACCATCTCCGCCATTCAGAAAAGCCTCGCGGGCTTCTCCGTGCTCATCCAGACCGCTGGCCTCATGCGTCAAGTAGGAACCTGTGAGGGCAGAAAAGAGGGGTGAGGGGGGGGAGAAGAGAGAGAGGGGGTGGATTAAGTGTGCCCCACAAACTGGCTCCACTCTTGTCTAGTTCAGGGGTGTCCAACCAGAGGTGGGATTCAGCCGGTTTGAGCGAACCGTCAGCCTTCTCCCCCCCTCCCCGCCAGGCCCTCCGGAGATAGGAAACAGCCTGTTTCCCTACTTCTGGTGGGCCCAGAAGGCCCAAAAATCAGCTGGCTGGCACGCTCATGCACGCCAGAGCTGAGCTGGCGTGCCCATTGATATGGCTACATGTGCCACCTGTGGCACGCATGCCATAGGTTTGCCATCACGGTGCTAGGACTTATTTTCCGGTTGGGTCTTATTTTCGGGGGAAAATAAGAGCCTGGTTTAGCTCTGCAGACTAAAGCACCATAATTAACATCCAGCTGTCTGCAATTACACCAGTTCAAATCTCCCCAGGCTCAAGGTTGACTCAGCCTTCCATCCTTTCTAAGGTAGGTAAATTGAGGACCCAGTTTGTGGGGGCAATAAGCTGACTTTGTATAAATATACAAAAAGTATGAAGGCTATTGCTTAACGCATTGTAAGCCGCCCTGAGTCTCCGGAGAAGGGCGGCATATAAATCAAATTATATATATATATATATATAAAAAGGTATTCTCTGGGTAACAGAACAAAGATGATAAGGAAGAGCCAGCCAGGCATCTGGCTTTATGGATTGGGCAGCCTTTGTCAATCCAGTGCCTTTCAGAGGTTGTGACCGTCATCCCACCAGCCACAAGAGACATCGTAGCTGCAACAGAAGTCTTACAGCTGTGGCTCTAAGGTGGGACCGCTTTGCCTGGAAGACTCGTGTTTAAGAATTACAAGTGAGATCACAGCCCATCAGGGCTGAATCACAAACCCATCCCAATTCGACTGGATGCCAAAAAAAAACAGCAGCTTCAGTCCAGGAAGGCAGACAATAATAACTCTTGCAAGCCACAGGAGAACCAGCAAACCATGACACTCATAGATCATGTCAAGTGCCATCATATTTCAATCCAACTCACACACCTACATGCTGTTAGCTCTGGCGCATTATTTAAGGTATGTACAAGGCCAAGTTATTTGTGAGGCTGAAGGTATCTGCTCATCCCACTAGGTCAGATAGAATAGAGATTCTATGGGGTGGGGACTTCAGAGGCACACCTTCTCTGTAGCCACCCCAGAATCTTTAGAATAGCCTACTGAGATACTGAGAGCACGTGGTGGCTCAGTGACTAAGATGCTGAGCTTATCAATCGAAAGGTCGGCAGTTCAGGGGTTCGAATCCCTAGCGCTGCGTAACGGGGTGAGCTCCCGTTACTTGTCCCAGCTTCTGCCAACCTAGCAGTCCGAAAGCACATTAAAAAAAATGCAAGGTGAAAAATAGAGCCCATTTTTGGCCTCCCAAACCCCCCATCCGTCACATTTTTGCCCTCCCCGGCCCCTAGGAGCACTCCGCAGGCCTCCCAAACCCTTTGCGCATCCCGTTTTTGCAAAAAACGGGATGCGCAGAGGTTTGGGAGGCCTGCGGAGTGGTCCTGGGGGCCGGGGAGGGCAAAAACTTTTTTTTTCTTGTTTACCTCTTCGAAATCTTGGTGCGCTTATACTCCGGTGTGTCTTATAGTCCGAAAAAATACAGTACATGCTTGCAATGCCCACTTAGAAGCAATCCGAGAAAGAACACCAGGTTCCCATTCATTGGTCAGAGGTGAGAGATGAGGTTACTTAAAGAGACCCTCCTGGGTTCCCCTCACTAACCTTTCTGCCGGATGGAGCACCACACCATGACGATGAGTACGCAGATGACGAGAAAGACGAGGAGAGCCAGGATGCCCCCCACAATGGCATAGGGCACCGAAGTCTGGGCCTCTACAATAGCCCCAGGATCTGCAAAGGACAAAGAAGGTGCTGAAGACACGAAAGGAAGGTGGAAACGTCTCTGGCAAGAATTGCGCTGCTTTGCAAAAGGAAAGGGGGAAGGAAGGGTCTCCTCCATTTTTCCTATTTCTGGCCACCCTCCCTGTTGGCAGAGGGGAGCCAAGGGCCCGTAGCCAACAGGGAGCCATTTCCACCCCAGGCCTCAGCAGAAAACGTTTCACCTTGACTTCTGTGGAGATTCTCAAGTCATCCAGGTCGTGGTTGTCCCATGTTGTTGTTTTTTTTCCCCAGAGGCAACTGGGCTTTCTTGTTTTTCTTTGAAGACGTTTCACTTCTCATCCAAGAAGCGTCTTCAGTTCTTCAGAAGAGAAGAGTCCTCCTTCAGAGCTGAAGAAGCTTCTCGGATGAGAAGCAAAACGTCTTTAAAGGAAAACAAGGAAGTCCAGTTGCCTCTTGAAATAAAAGCACTGTTGGATTTCACCTTGGCACCTTGAAAGGATGAGCTTTGCAGTTGGTCCTCATCAACAGCTGGCTGACCCAGACTGAAAGGGGCTCCATCTCCATCTGGTGGCCGCCATCTTGTGCTAGTTTTACATGAAAGGCATTGGGCAGGGAGTGGGAGGAGGAAGGGGGTTTAGCGTAGATCAGGAGTGTTAAACTCAAGGCCCGGGGGCCGGATCCGGCCCACAGGGTGCTTTGATCTGGCTTGCGGGGCCGCCCTGGAAACAGCAAAAGACCGGCCTGCGGTGCCTCTGCCAGTGAAAACGGAGCTCGCGAGGGCTATGGGCAGCCCGCCCGGGCATTTTCACTGGCAGAGGGTTGCAGGAGGCCATCACAGCCGAAAACGGAGCTCAGGAGCCTGTTTTCTCTGCAAAGCGCTCGGGCCGCCACAGGCGCCCCTGACATAAGTGACATCGAGCTGGCCACGCCCATCCTGGCCATGCCGCCCTCTCGCCCCCCGCCCTCCCAAATCGAGTTTGACACCCCTGGTGTAGATAGTCACTTCTCTACTCAGTCACTGTCCAAAGTTAAATATTGGGACCAGAATTTCCAGTGCTAATCAAATTGGTTGCTAAGCGACTCGTGCCTGATTTTTTACAACCAGGGCTGGGTACGCAGGGGGGCACTGCATTATGGGTGTGGGATTGCGCGCGCACGCCCCCCCCCCCCGGTGTCCCACCCACCCCCCGCTTTTGGCACACGATGGCAAAAAGGTTAGCCATCGCTGTCCTAGACACAAATGCGAGGGCTGGATCTGGGACCACAAAGACCAAAAGGAGCAAATGCCGGAAGATCGGGAATGTGAGGTTCTAGGTTGAGGCAGAAGCCGAGGTGGCTGCAAAATTTGACTTACCATAAACCACCAGAACGTACTGGTCCGAGGACCGTCCATGTTTATTGGCCACTTGGCACGAGTAGGTGCCGTTATCCAGCATGCTGAGGCTGGGGATGGTCAGGACTTCGCCCTCTATCAGGGCTCGCTCGGGCAACGTGTCATTCGCTCGGCTCCATTTAATGTCTCTGGGCCTGAAAGGGGCACCCAAAAGAACCTGTTAGCCTGTGCCTCAACCCCGCCCTCCTTCGCTGCTGCCGCCTTCTGGCCACCAGCACAGCATCCTTTCCACCTACACACACACACACACATACTTTCGAAAAAGCAGCTCTTTTCTCTTCAAGGTTATCCGCTGCCAGACCAGGTGATGGATGGACACATGAGGCAGTGGCTGGATCAAGGGGCACTCGAGTAATAACTCTGCTCAGGAATTGTACCCATCAGTCAGGCGGGTCAGGGAGAGAGGCAAGGACAGCTTGTTCACAAAAGGGTGGGAAAAAAAAATTAAGGATCGGGTCTCGGGACCTGTAGGAAGTTAGCACCCACCCATCTCCTAGAAGAATGAAATATTCTAGGAAATATTTAAAAAGGCAAAATATGATACCTCCCTGGATGAGAAATGGAGAAACATGTTTTTTGAGGCAGGAAGCAGACTCACTCTTAATAGCCGTCACCCTCCTCAATAACCCACAGCAGATGTCAGCACTTAACAGATAAAAAGATAGCTAGGTCTATTCATAAGCAAATGCCCTCACCCAAGATCCAACAAAGGTAGGGCTGTCTACCCATTTAGCAACATAACTCACCACGTGGCACCTGGGGAGACTGCATCACCCAACAAGGCTCAACCAAGACTGGGACTCAAAAGACAACCTACAAAGTTACCCAGGCATGGCCCCATGGGAGTTTGACAACCAATCAGAATACAAGCTCAAATTCAAAGCCCAACAGAGGGTATAAATCTCTTTCTCTCTTTCATCCATGTGCTTTTTTGCCCAGGACCTCAACGCCATGTGATCCTTCCACCATTAAACCATCTTTTCAAGCAGTTTCCAGTGTCTTTCTCCCCACTTGGAACTGAACCCAGATGGACATTTCTTCCAACAAACCCTAATGGGACAGGAAGACATTTAGGCAAAATGGCTGGCTTTATTATATTGATGGTAGCCACAGCCAAGACAGGAATCCTTTTTCTTAAAAAAAATATATATATATTTAGTTTATTTAAAAAAAAAAAAAGTTAAAATACGAAACACCAAACTATTGGGAGGGTGGGGTGGGGAAAGAAAAAACACAAGAAAGAAGACATTAAAAAGTACCTTTTTTAAAAAAGATTAACTCATATATACATAGAGTAGCATCCTGCTGATTAATATAATACAACAGTGTGAATCTCCCACTCCTTACAAAACAGGCCAAAAGAATTTTATATCAATAACAAAATAGTTAAGAGGGAAATGATACAAATAATACACAAAGATATAAAAACAATAAAGATTATCTGTAATAATGAAAAGGGAAAAAAAGGGGGCAAGATTAAAATTCCCCCAAACCTTCTGTTAACCAACTGTTATGGTAATTGACTCGTAGAAAATTTACTACACGCTTCAATCCAACATCATCCCCCAAAATTAAGCCTAATTGATCCCGGATCCAATAACCGTGTCTAGCAATTATCAGTGGCTGATTGGTTAAATACAATAAAGCCAATTTTCAAAGCCAATCTACCCAGGACAGAAATCCTGACTCCTCTTGTGCAGAGAAGAGCAACAAAGATGATTGGGGGACTGGAGGCTAAAACATATGAAGAACGGATGCAGGAACTGGGGATGTCTAGTTTAATGAAAAGAAGGACCAGGGGAGACATGATAGCAGTCTTCCAATATCTCAGGGGCTGCTACAAAGAAGAGGGAGTCAAGCTATTCTCCAAAGCACCTGAGGGCAGGACAAGAAGCAATGGGCGGAAACTAATCAAGGAGAGAAGCAGCTTAGAACTAAGGAGAAATTTCCTGACAGTGAGAACAATTAATCAGTGGAACAACTTGCCTCCAAAAGTTGTGAATGGTCCAACACTGGAAATTTTTAAGAAGATGTTAGATAACCATTTGTCTGAAGTGGTGTAGGGTTTCCTGCCTGAGCAGGGGGTTGGACTAGAAGACCTCTGAGGTCCCTTCCAACTCTGTTATTCTATTCTATTCTATTCTATTCTATTCTATTCTATTCTATTCTATTCTATTCTATTCTTTCTATTCTATTCTATTCTATTCTATTCTATTCTATTCTATTCTATTATTTTTGAGCCTGTTGGCATTAGCGGCAAAATACAGAGATGAAAGACAGACCAAATTGTTGACACAATGAGCCAGGAGCAAGCAAGGGTTTGTTTCCTGTCCTATTTTTGCATATTCTTTTTTTTTTTTCCAAATTGCATCTCCTTCGCCAAAGTTATATAACAACACGCCAAACCCGACCGTCGGAGGAGAAAAGTGACTCAAATGTGCATGTGCCACCAACAGCTATTCCTCTTCTAAACTGCCATTGGCTGTGAAAACTGTCTCCCATGTCTCATTTTTCACACATGCACGCACACACCGTTTTTGAAACAGCTGATGCTCCAAAACAGAGAGAAGTCAAAATTGAAATCAACATCTCCCGGAAGAGAATGAGATAATTTGTGCTAGATCAAAAAGGTTCTCAGTTGGTTTATAATAATAAGAACTTTATTGTCATTGTACACAGTATGTAGTGGGAAAAAAAAAATAGGGCTCCCCCATCACTAGATTGGACCAATTGAATTGTAGAAATTAAGATTTAGGTTTGCACAGTGGGAGGGGCAGGAGTCAATGAGTCTTGAAGTTCATCATCATCATCATCATGCTGGCTGGGGAATTCTGGGAGTTGAAGTCCACACATTTTCAATAGTCAAGGTTAAGAAACACTGTTTTATGGCATTCCACTCCAATAACTTTAAACTCTGGCCTCCATTTCGTATTTGGTTCTGCTCTTCAAGCCCAAAAATCTTATTTTAGAAATGGAACCAGTTAGTGGACCTTGAAATCTTAAAGTTTGTTTGTTTGTTTTTTTTAAAAAAGGCAGAACTTTCAAACTTAAAATCTGCCCAGTTCTTTTCTAAGACATCCTGTACCCTGGGCTACAGGCAAGGTGAGAAATTTATTTATTAGATGTTTATCCTGCTTTTACTATTTTTATAAATAACTCAAAGCAGCAACCATAGCTAATACTCCTTCCTCCTCCTATTTTCCCCACAACAACCCTGTGAGGTAGGTTGGACTAAGAGCGAGAGAGACTGGCTCAACATCCCCCAGCTGGTGTTCATGCCTAAGGCGGGACTAGAACTCACTGTCTCCTAGTGATTGGCTCAAAGTCACCCAGTCGGCTTTCATACCTAAGGTGTGACTAGAACTCACAGTCTCCTGGTGATTGGCTCAAAGTCACATAAGCTTTCATGCCTAAAGCAGGACTAGAACTCACAGTCTCCTGGTGATTGGCTCAAAGTCACACAAGCTTTCATGCCTAAAGCAGGACTAGAACTCACAATCTCCTGGTGATTGGCTCAAAGTCACACAAGCTTTCATGCCTAAAGCAGGACTAGAACTCACTGTCTTCTGGTGATTGGCTCACCCAGTCAGCTTTCATGCTTAAGGCAGAACTAGAACTCACACTCTTCCCAGCATGCTCTCTGGGGAATTCTGGGAGCTGAAGTCCGCACAGCTTAAAGTTGCTAAGGTTCAGAAACATTGCTCCAGAATTCCACACCCACACCCATTGGCCACGCTGGCTGACAATCAGAAATCTGCAAGTTCTCTCCGAGGTTCCCCGGATGGCTGATCAGCTGTTCTCCAGGAACTGCTTCCCCCATCAAGAGACCCAAAAGCAAAAAGGCCTTTTGTGAAAAGTTGGGTTTTTGATCTATTGTTTTAGTTAAAATGCAAACAGAGGCAGATTTGGTCTAATAATCAATACCCTTGGTTGATGAAGCCCAAAATATTCCAATATCTTACTTGACAGCTCTCATTTGTTAGGGGTCGCCAATTTTAGCTTTTCTCAGCACCAGATTTGGGTTTTAATAAATGTCAGTAAAAATTGGTTTGTTTTTTTTTAAAAAAAAAACAGGATAACCACTGCCATAACCATGTACTTCTTTTTCCCAGATTTTCTGCACAAGGTTCTTTCCTGCTGCCACCAAAATAAGTCCAAAATATACTTTTTCCCATCCAGAAGAAGGACTTACAGTGGGTTGCCGTTTACAGCGCAAGTCAAAATTAAGGTGTCTCCTTCCCTCATGACTCCCTGAGGGGGATGAATTCTTGCTGTGGGTGAATCTAGAAAAAGAGAGAGAGAGAAAAAAGAACCGAAATAATAATAATATCCTGCTAACAATTTGTAGCCAATACAAAATATAAATAAAAAATTTGTATTCTCAAAAGACCCTGGAGATTCCTGCCTTTTCTTGGCTTAAAAATACACAAACTCTTCAAGAACAAGTAGACGCAAACTATAGAACCAATTGTTCCCTCAGAATGTAGGAATCTGATCTGACGCCACAGCAAGTTTAGAATTATTTGCAGGTAGCCCTCGAGTTACGACCTTAATGGAACATGCCCATCATGGTTTTAAATCGTAAGAGTCATAAAATGGATCAGCCACATCACCAACCCGATTTTTCGACCTCTGTTGTGGTGCTTGTTAAGCTAACGTGGTGGTAGAAAGTGAATACGGCGGTCACTGAGCAAATGCCGTGGTGGTCGTTAAGCAAATCTATTGTAAGTGCCAGTTTGGGGCATAAACCATGGTCACGCGACTATGGGATGCTAAAAGGTAAAGGTAAAGGTTCCTCTTGCACATCTGTGCTAGTCGTTCCTGACTCTAGGGGGCGGTGCTCATCTCCATTTCAAAGCCGAAGAGCCAGCGCTGTCCGAAGACGTCTCCGTGGTCATGTGGCCGGCATGACTAAACGCCAAAGGCGCACGGAACGCTGTTGCCTTCCCACCAAAGGTGGTCCCTATTTTTCTACTTGCATTTTTTACATGCTTTCAAACTGCTAGGTTGGCAGAAGCTGGGACAAGTCACGGGAGCTCACCCCACTATGCGGCACTAGGGATTCAAACAGCTGAACTGCTGACCTTTCAATCGACAAACTCAGCGTCTTAGCCACTGAGCCACCGCATCCCTTCATGGGATGCTACAAATGGTTATAAATGCAGCCAAATTGTCGAGCATCTGAGGTAATAGGATTGCATGGGAGGGGGGGGGCAACTGTTGGAACTTTGGATTCGGGTCATAAGTCCCCTTTTTGAGTCCTGTTGCAACTTTGAACTGTCGCTACGTCGTAAGTCAAAGACTAGCTGCATTCCCCTCGGTAGCTTTCCTTTAACAAGGACGGTCGAATTAAAAGACAGAGGCAGATGTTGGCTTCCGTCAAACATGTTCAGGTTGGTTCAAAATGTTTCTGACAGCTCACTGAAGGAGTCCCTTTGTAGCCATTGTAGGAGGGAACTCACGGAAGCAAAGAAATATCACAGCCCGGTCGCCCTTATTCCGACATACCAATTTGAATCAAAGGCAGAAGCTTGAGGGAGCTGCAGCTTTTGTGAGCTTTTGAATCCAGTGTGTGAGTCGGAAAAGGTGCTCCCGGTTTCCTTCTGATCTCTGGAAGGAATCCTGGCATCCGTCTCCGTGTGACAGCCTTTCAGATTTTTTGACGAGTTGCTATCCTTGTTCCTTTAATCTCTCTTCACAAGATTTAGTTTCCACTCTTCTGACCGTCTTCTCACACTTCTCTGAACTAGTTCCAGATTGCCTTTCCCCCCCCCTCCTTTTTCTTTTCTTTCTTTCTTTCTTTTTTGACTCATATCACACGGCTGTCTCAGGCGGCTGTCTCTTAATACGCTACCCTTGCAAGTTCTTCTTCACAAAAGAGGCAGAGCCAATCCAGAAATTCCCCGCTCCGCAGAGGTGCAATTGATCCGTTTTCCTAAAATATTAACTTTGCATTTGACAACGTGTCCAGCCTCCCGGTTAGCTTCCTGCCCTCTTTCCCAGCTGATCAAGACCGTTTCAAATTTTATTTCTGCCTCCTTAGAATATTAGCTAACCTGCTCAGCCAAGGGTCATCCGCAAATGATCAGCATTCTCTCTGCTCCCTCATCAAAAGTCATTAAAATGCTGGAGAGCCGGGGTTGAACTGTGATGCATCTTCGCTCCCCCCTCTGATGAAGAACCTTCTCTGCACTCTTTGACCTAAGTTTTTCAAGCCAGCTATCTGTCTACTTCATGTCACACCACCCAGCCTACACTTAACTACTTTGCTAATCAGACTACGGTAGAGTGTACTTGTTCAAATGCTGCTTCTGGGCTTCTCCGCGGCATCTGGTTGATCGATGGGAAAACAGGACATTGAACTAGATGAGTTTTTAATCTGATCTAAGAAAGCTGCTCTCGCTCTTTGTTCTCCTGTTTAAAATGCTGGAGTCAAGCTATTCTCCAAAAGCACCTGAAGGCAGGACAAGAAGCAACGGGTGGACACTAATCAAGGAGAGAAGCAACTTAGAACTAAGGAGAAATTTCCTGACAGTGAGAACAATTAATCAGTGGAACAGCTTGCTACCAGAAGTTGTGGGTGCTCCATCACTGGAGGTTTTTAAGATGAGATTGGACAACCCTTTGTCTGAAGTGGTGTAAAGTTTCCTGCCTAAGCAGGGGGTTGGACTACAACAGTGATGGCTAACCTTTATGTCACTGTGTGCCTGCATCCATAATGCAATGCACGCATGACTGACCCCCCCACCCCACGGCCCATTTTGGGCCTAGCAAGCCTCCCTGCAGCCTCCTGGGATCAAAAACGGACCACAGGGGGCCCGTTTTTGGTCCCAGGAGGCTGCAGGGAGGCCTGCTAGGCCCAAAACGGGCCACCGGGGGGGGCGCTGCACCCCCCACTCCCTACTGCCCCCTGCGCATGTGCGCGTGACCCCCCTGTCCCCCGCACATGCGCATGCGACACCCCCCCCGGGTAGGCAGAGATCTGAAAATCAGCTGGCTGGCAGGAGGTGCGCATATACGGGGTGGAGCTGAGTTGGGCGATGGCTCTGCGTGCCACCTGTGGCACACGTGTCCCCATCACAGGACTAGAAGGCCTCCAAAGTCCCTTCCAACTCTGTTATTCTACTCTATTCTACTACTATTGGTTTTTTATATATATCCAAAATATAGCGCAGGACCCCTTCAATACCCAGGCTCTGGCAGAAACTCTGAGATTGAGGAAGATACATGCCACCCATAGGAGTAAGAAGGGAGTTTAAAATATACATATATAACTTTATATATATATATATATATGCTTTCTTTACATGCTGGATTTGTAAACCAGTAATTTCTATAGCCAGAAGTGTGAACGTTTTACATCACTATCCCCTCAGAAACTTCATCCATCATTAATGCCTTTAAAAAAAAACCTACACTTTATTTATTGTCAACAACCTTAGAAACCTGCTAGTAGGCAGAAAAAGGCAGAATAATAAAAAAAAAAAATTCAAAATGAGTGCGTAACGTAGTAAAGCTGTTTTTCAAGCACAGCTCCCAAAGCAGAGCAGCTAAATAAAATATTTTAAAATAATAAGCCAAGAATTAATATCGATATTAATAGAATAGAATAACAGAGTTGGAAGGGACCTTGGAGGTCTTCTAGTCCAACCCCCTGCTTAGGCAGGAAACCCTACACCACTTCAGACAAATGGTTATCCAACATCTTCTTAAAAATTTCCAGTGTTGGAGCAGTCACAACTTCTGCAGGCAAGTTGTTCCACTGATTAATTGACTAGATTAACTAATTCTACTTTAATAGAATTTTGCAAGTCTGAAAGTACTTCAGACTTTTTAACAGCCTGTCTGTTAGGCCAGATCCTTGCTTAATTTTTTCCTCTGACCGATAAGCCACTTAGGGTTCATAATTGCTGCCTCCTTCATTCCAACAAGACAGGGGGAAAAAAGGGCAACCAGGATGCAAAATGCAACATGGCTCCATTTCTCGATCTCGCTAACCCAATCCCGTCTTACAAAGTCTTTCTACCTCTCCTGCGCTCCTCCCTCCCTAGGGAGCTCCAGCGGTCACTTACACTGTACATCTAGCACGTACTGCGTCTGCTTCCGCTGACCACGCAGTGCCGGGTGGATGGCTTCGCACGTCACAATGCTGCTGTGGTCCTTGCGATCCACCCGGAAACGCACCATGCTGTTGATGCTGAATACTTTCCCATTTTCTTGCTTGCTGCTTGTTCCTGAAATACAAATGGTGCACCAGCCCCGTCAGATAACCCTAGCGAGCAGTTAACAACTCCCCTTTAAATCAGGGGTGTCTGACCTTGGCAGCTTTTAAGATATGTGGACTTCAACTCCCAGATATGTACCATGTTTCCCCGAAAATAAGACCCTGTCTTATATTTTTTTGAATCCTGAAATAAGTGGTTGGCCTTATTTTCAAGGAGGTCTTATTATTTTGGGGTGCATGAAGCAAGACGGGGATCCTTTTGCTGTCTTACCTGATTTCCAGCTCTGTCTCCCTAACCCTAACCAGAGGAAATGGCGGGGACCGGCTGCACATTTAAATATTTTCACGGGGGAGGCTTATTTTAGTGCATGCACTCAAAAACCCGATTGAGTTTATTATCCGGGGAGGTCTTATTTTCAGGGAAACAGGGTATTATACCAGGGGTGTCAAACCCAATTTCAGTGAGGACTGGATCAGGACTGTGGTTGACTTGGGAGGGGGGGGGGCGCGACTGAGTGGGTGTGGCCGACTGGGTGGGCATGACCAGCTGTACACCACTCCCCAAACTGCTGGCATGTTTCCTCTTTGCATTGGGTAGACCAGGCCGAAGCCACGTTGGCCTGATGTTGCCACTTCGTACTGGGTAGACCGGGCCGAAGCAGCGCAGGCCGGCCCCTTACATTTCCCAGGATGGTCCCACAGGTCGGATCCAACCACATCACAGTCTGGATGTGGCCCGTGGGCCTTGAGTTTGACACCCCTGTATTATATGGATGATCTCAACAACTGATTCTGGGCGGACTCAAAATAAAAACAATTTAAAACATTACAAAAGTTAACATACACAATGGACAAGCAGCATCAACCCAAATCACTAGCCTAACTAAGAAGAGGGTCAACTTTGACACCCCCAGGCCTGGGCAAAAAAAACCCCTGTATCTTTATTGGAGAAATAGTTGTTGTCCATCCAAAATTGTCAGGCGGGAACTCAAAAGTGCTTTTTTTATTTAAAAAAAAAAGTCAACTGGATTGTTTTTTAGGAGGAGAAGAGGAGGAGAGGAGGAGAGGAGGAGGAGGTGAAGGAAAAAGAAGAGGAGGAGGAGGAAAAGGAAGAAGAAAAAGAAAAGGAGGAGGAGGAAGAGGAAGAGGAAGAGGAGGAAGAAAAAGAAGAAGGAAGAAGAGGAGAAGGAAGAAGAGAAGGAAGAAGAAGAAGAGGAGGAGGAGAAAGAAAAAGAAGAAGAAGAAGAAGAAGAGGACGAGGAGGAAGAAAAAGAGGAGGAGGAGAAGGAAGAAGAAAAAGAAGGAAGGGGGAAGGAGGAGGAGTTCCACTTCTCATCCAAGAAGCTTCATCATGGATGGAGCTCCTTGGATAAGAAGCGAAACTACAGTCCAGATACCTTTTGAGCACTTTTGAGACAACTATGACCTGGATGACAGAGACTCTCCATAGACATGTAAGGCAGACGTATCCTCTCACCACTCAAGGCATCTAACTGGAGGATAGATCAAGTGGAAGAATAGGTTGACTTTGGCCTAAACGCCAACAGGAGAAGTGGTGCCTGGATCCCACTTCCCAGGAAATATATTCCACAGGGGCCCAATTCAGCATTTGGAATGACACCTTTTATCTCTTTCCGGTCCCGGTACCAGCGCAGGGTGGCCGCAGGGCGTGACCTGGGAACACTGCAGGTGAGTTCAACTTCTCCTCCTTCTACCGCCTGTTCCTTCACCTCCACTAAAGGACTGTCCGGGGGAACTGGAAGAAGAAAAACCAGGCAGATCATTAGTCATCCCCTCTTTCACCTCACATCCCATGGCTGAATCCTTCACTCAGTACCTGAACCGCCTCCAATGCGGCAACTTTCTTAATTAATATTTCAACGGTTAGTGATAGTTGGGAGGAGATGTCTTCACCCAAGCTTCTCAGTTCGGAGAAGGTCATTTTAGGAAGGAAAACAAGGACTTAGCCTTCTACAATGAAGCAAAGAAGAAAAACAAAGAGAGGCCCAAGGGATGGGCATGAATTTCTGAAGATTACAAGGGTTTGCTAAATCCCTTGACCTCTATTTGTTCCTTCCAACATTTCGTGCTTGCAAAATAAGATAGATTTTTTTTTTTTTTAAAAAGGAGTTATAGCTTTTGTTTTACTTGCATCAATGCTTCCACTGATGTTCTCCTAAGGACGAATCCAAATCTTTTCTCTCTCACTCTCACTCTCTGAAGATTATCTGCTCCCCTACTGCCAAAGGCTGACCTTGAAAAACGATCATGTCTTCTAATAGTCTTTTGTCTGGCAGGTTAGGTAGATTCCTGAAAGTGTGACTTTCAGAAAGGCTACAGCTCAGCGTCAAAGCACATGTTCAGCACGCTAAAGATCTTAGGTTCAATCTCTGAGCTCTCCTGAGGGGGAATAAAGCAGACGGGTCTGAAATTGTGGACAGCTATTGAAGCCCGTCTAGACAATCGTATTGCCAGAATGTTCTTTGCACCGGCAGCTTCCAAAACATACCTGATTTTTTTTTCCCCCCCTTTGGGTCGGCTGCAGTCAGACTTAGAGGCAGGGGTGAGATTCAGCTGGCTCGGACCAGTTCGGGTGAACAGGTAGCTCCGAGGATCAGCTGAGAGTGAACCGGTTCGCTCCGATGATCAGCTGGGCCCGCCTGCCCGCTTCTGCGCTATACCGACCTATATTTCCTTTGTTTGAAGCCCAGCTGATAGGCGCGGCAGAGCGGATTGCCATGCCTCAGCTGTTTTACTCACTGGGACTGCAGTAAAAGGCTGTACTTCCTGAGAATGCTCAGGAAGATAAATCTATCTTTACTTCTGTCCTACTATGGCAGCACCATTGAGAGTGTCCTGACATATGGCATTCTTGCATGGTATGGGAGCAGCTCTGTAGCGGACAAAAAAGCTCTACAGAGAATCATTAAAACCGCCCAGAATATCATCGGACTCCAACTCCCAACCCTGGACGATATCTTCGAATCTCGCTGTTTGAGAAAGTTGCATAACAGAGACTCTTCCCATCCCTGCTTACAATCTTTTTGGACTGTTGCCTTCTGGCAGAAGATACAGAACAATTAAAACTCGGACCTCACGTTTTCTGAATAGTTTTTATCCCAGAGCTATAATTGCACTCAACAATGAACTAAAGGGCCACCATCAGTGAGCTGTTGGACAGCATTACTTGGTCTGTTGTGTGGATGTTTGGGTGGTTTAGGGGTGGGGAATTGTGGTGGGTGGGAGTGTGTTTGGGGATTGTTACCCTGTTTCCCCCAAAATAAGATATCCCCTGATAATAAGCCCAATCGGGCTTTTGAGTGCATGGCAATAAGGTTATTTCAGGGTTCAAAAACCCTGAGTCTTATTTTCGGGAAAACACGGTAAGTGTGTTGGACCTGGTCTTTGGGTGTTAAGTGAATTTCGTTGTATGGGTATACTGTGTATACATGTACAATGACAATAAAGTTATTATTATTGTTGTTATTATAGAAGATAAGTTTTAGAACTGTTTTCAAAAGCACTGTGCGCAGGGGAAGCGTGTGTTTGGACAAGTCACAAGGGAAGCACGCATGTGTGCACAAAGCGGACGCCCAGCGAACCAGCTGTTACACCAGTTGAATCCCACCACTGCTTAGAGGGGTGAACTTTAGAGGGATGAGTTTTAGGAAATGGGTGAAAAGCCCTTTGCCAGATTGCAGGGTATGAAATCAGAGCAACACATACACACTGAACAGGGGAGGCAAATGGTTCCCCCATGCATATTATCAAGCAATTGAGTATTGTAAACTCAAGGGATGATACCAGCAGACCTGCTGCTTTTAATCTGGAGCAGCCCCATCCTGGTCAAGTGGTGGTGGTGTGTGTGTGTGGGGGGGGGGGGATATTCAGTTTAAAAGACTAAACTATGGGTGTCCAACCTTGGCAACTTTAAGATTTGTTGGACTTCAACTCCCAGAATTCCCCAGCCAGCCAGTTGCTTAGCAGGGTGACGCCTACCCAGGACTGTAAGGATGGCAATCTGATGATGAGTGTCTTCTGTGTACAGCTGGCAATAGTATCCACCTTCATCTTCCAGACGGGCGTTGGAGAGCACAATGCGGACTTGTTTTTGGGTGAACTCCACCAACTGGAAACGTTCATCCTTCAAGGCTGTAAGGAGCAGAAGGGAAATGTGTCAGTTGTGGACCAATAAAACAAACAAGGATCATCTTCATCTCCCAGGTCACAACAAGCCACAGTCATGGTTCTGAACACTCCTGGTCTCCAGTCCAGGACAACATTGTAGATCAACATGGAAGGAAAATCAAGAAAGTAGATGACCCAACTTCCATGTGCTTCGTGGCTCTTTAGATCAAACCGAGATCCCATCCCCAGCCCACAATTTGACACCTTGAAGCCTTAGAAACAAGGTTACCTCGTGTGCCGTTGAAGAAGAGCGTCTGCCGAGATGGATTCTGGATCACCACGATGGAGCCATCGTATTGGTGCAGTTTGCAATTGATCTCAGCCTGTCCGCCTTCTGCTACCGTCACATTCTCGGCTTGGACCTCCTGAGCTCTAGCTGGGATGGAGAAAAAGAGAGAAGGGGTTACCAGCCTTATTTCCTGGAGAAAGGACATCTGGTCATCATCAAGGAAGTCTGCTTACTGGGTGGACCTATCCTTATCAAAACCAGCTTCTTGCAAAGTTGATGGACTTCAAGGTAGCTTTGGAAATTCCGTGTTGGTGAGAACTAACTCAAAATAAGGATGAGCAAGCTACATCCCTAAGAAATGACTTACTGCCACTTCAAGAATGTCCTCCAAGCAAACCCCAGAGGGGAGCAGAAGAGGTCAGAAAACGAGTCAGAAAAACCATGCTGCTCCCCAACTTCAGCTGCCACATCTGGGTTGCAAAACTCCTCCTGGCCATTTGATGGCAGGAGAGAGTAAGAGTTCTTTGCTATTAGCTAGTATTTATCCAGTAATCGTCATTTTGCCCAAATATGATTGGCCTACCTAATAATGTGATGGTGAACCTTTTCAGCACCGAGTGCTGAAAAGGTCGCGCGGAAAGGTCGTGCATGCACGCACACGCTCATCGGGGCCGTGCTCTGGAAAAGCCAAACTTCTGGGTTCTAGCGTGCATGCGCGCCTGACAATCAGCTGGCCAGCGAGTGACCATGTGCAGGCCGGTTTCCGACACTGCCATGCACGTGAATGGATCGCGCTCTGGAAAAGCCGAACTTCCAGGCTCTGGCACGCATGCGCACCCACAATCAGCTGGCTGGCACACATGTGCTCACTGGTTTTCGGCACTGCCGTGCACACGAAGGACAGCTGATCGTAACACGCGCATGTGTGCCCGAAACTCGGAAGACAAACAGGCAAGGCTGCGCGTCCCGGGTGACATGGCTTCACATGCTACTTTGGGCACGCATGCTATAGGTTCGCCTTCACGGGTCTAGCCTCACTATTGGTGTGTGTGCGTGTATGTGTTTTTATTATAATTTTGTCCCAATAAAGGAGAATATTTATAGCTCAGTGTTACGCCGAGGGCTCCTTGATGCTAGTGCTGTGATTAGCACTGATAATGTTATCTAGTTTGGATAATGAAAGTCTGCAAGAAAGCAAACCAAGCTCAGAGAGCACCAAGGATCGCTTATTATAATTTTGGCTTGTTTTATGTGAGGCCATCTAGAACTATTCATCTGCCTAACTGGTTTATGCAGACTATAATCTGAATGATAATGGTCAGCGGTCAGCGGGGTGGAGAGCTTTGCCAAGCGGCTAAGAGCCGGAGGGAAATCCGGACGATCTCCTTCTCGTCCTTTGAAGCTTAACTAATCGTCCTTCCCATCCTCACAAGTCAGCTATTATTCCACAGAGGCGTAAACAAGAGGACATCGGAGTAACACACAAAAAAACGGTAAAGTAAAAACGTGAAAAGAGGAGGGCATGACAGGTGTTGCAGGAGAATTCCTTATAGGAACAGCCTCATCCCGGGTGTGTGGATTACAAGGCATAATAAAATAAAATAAAATAGCAGGTTGCATGGCCTCGTGTAGGCATTTCAGGGACTGCGTGCAATCTTAAGGAAATACACAGTGCTTCGTTGAACCTAGTCCTGGCGGGTATTTATTTATACCTCTTAACAACCCCCCCCCCTTTTCCCTGCCTGTAGGACAACATGGAAAATATTAAAACCCTTTTTATAAATAGCACAGAGACAAAAGGGCCCCAGGCCAGTGTTAGTGCCGTGTTCTTCCCACAGCATGCTTCAGCCCCTGTTAAATAAATGCTAAGTAGTGGAAACCTCCCTGCTAATAGGCTTAGCGCGATTCCAAGGTTCGCCGGTATTATCCATGCTAAACGCCAAGAGGCACTGTACACAACCCTGCACAAGACCGAACGCGACATAAACTGAGCTTTAAACTTGTGACTTAGCCGCAGCCTTCACTGCATCGCTTTCAACTCCGGGCATTTTGAAATGGGGAGAGGGTTTGTATTAATTAAAAAGGAATAGAACAGAAGAAGAGCTGATCTATTCCATTCCATTCCATTCCAATTTCTATTTTATTGTTCTTTCCTGTTCTGTTCTGTTCTGTTCTGCTCTATGTTTTTTTTTTTTTTTTAATTTGATTTATATGCCGCCCTTCTCCGGAGACTCAGGAGGGCTTACAGTGCGTTAAGCAATAGCCTTCATTCTTTTGTATATTTTATACAAAGTCAGCTTATTGCCCCCACAAACTGGGTCCTCATTTCACCTACCTTAGAAAGGATGAAAGGCGGAGTCAACCTTGAGCCTTGGAGAGATTCGAACCAGCAGAAATTGCAGGCAGCTGTTTAATGACAGGGTGCACTAAACCACTGTACTATCAAGCTACGCTACGCTACGCTATGCAGTGGCGCAGTAGTTAAGAGTGCAGTAGTTCAGGCTACTTCTGCTGACTGCCAGCTGCCTGCAATTTGGCAGTTCAAATCTCACCAGGCTCAAGGCTGACTCAGCCTTCCATCCTTCCGAGGTGGGTAAAATGAGAACTCAAATTGTTTTGGGCAATAGGCTGACTCTGTAAACCGCTTAGAGAGGGCTGTAAAGCACGGTAAAGCAATATATAAGTCTAAGTGCTATTGCTATTGCTATTGCTATTGCTATTGCTATTGCTATTGCTATTGCTAATTCTATTCTATTCTATTCTATTCTATTCTATTCTATTCTATTCTATTCTATTCTATTCTATTCTATTCTATTCTAATCTAATCTAATCTAATCTATTCTAATCTATTCTATTCTTCTATTTCTAATCACTACTCAAAATGTGGGGATGCAAAGGTCTATCAAAGAAGAGAGGAAGTGAGAGATAGAGGAGGTCCTGGGGCGATGACTGCAGGAAGTCCTCGATTTATGACCACAATTGAGCTCCAAATTTATGTTGCAAAGCGAGTCATTTGTTAAGTGAATTTTGCCCCATTTTACGACCTTTCTTGCCACACTCAAGACTGAAGAGTCCCCTTGGGAGTTGGGTGACATAGAAATACGATTAATTAAATTAAATTAATTAAATCGCTGCAATTGTTAACCGTCATAAATATGAACCAGTCGCCAAGCATCCGAAATTTTGCTCATGTGACCATGGGGACGATGCTGCAAGAGCCGTAAATTGTGAAAAAACGGTCATAAGTCCCTTTTTTCAGTGCCGTTGTAACTTTGGAAGGTCACTAAAAGAACGGTCGTAAGTCGAAGGCTACCTGTACATGAGAAGTGTTTTTTCTAAGTGGCAGTCAAATTGGTGAGAGAGAGAGAGGGTGAGCAAGCTCGTTCCAAACCAAGGGATGTGATGTTTGGCCATTTTGTATGAGGTGGCCCCACCAAAAGTGTTTCTCCGGCATCTCAAAACCACACACAAAAATGTCTGCCTGAAGATAATCCCCTCTTGTCATTCAGAAGGACTTTTTTTTTTTTTTTTAATTTTGCAGGTTGCATAAATTATGCATCCGTGTGGCAAAGTTCCTCACTTTAAAATGATTACACGGTGTCGATTATTCCTCCCCCGTTTCACCCCGTATCACATCGTCGCGCCGTTCAACCACGGAATTAAAAGTCTAAAAAGCATCCGTAGTAACCCATCACCATCTGGGTACACCCGAAGACAACAATCGATGCTGGTCCAAGACACCTGAAGGGCACCCAATTCCGATTCTGGCCTTGCCACCTCCACTCTGTGAATGTTGTTTTCGTGTTTAGGGAGGTCTCAAAGCAATACAGAGCAGAGATGTGAACAAAAGCCTCACAAACATCTCACAGGTGCAAGGACAAAAGAGCACACAGGCAAACATGGACAGGAAATCTCTCCAGAAAAGGTCTGTGTCTCTCTTCAACCATAGCCCAGATTATCATCATCATCATCATCATTTAACGACCCCATAATCCCTTACGGCAGTGGTTCTCAACCTTCCTAATGCCGCAACCCTTTAATACAGTTCCTCGTGTTGTGCTGACCCCCAACCATAAAATTATTCCCAAGACCATTGAAAATATGTGTTTTTCGATGGTCTTAGGCGACCCCTGTGAAAGGATCGTTCGACCCCCAAAGGGGTCACGACCCACAGGTTGAGAACTACTGCCTTACGGGGTGGAGTCCTGGCAACTGAATGGAGCTAGCAAAGCGTTTAATGGCCGGATGCCTTTCCTGTCGCCAATGCAGAGTTTTGTTCAGCAGATATATTCTCATTGTGCCCAGAGAGAGACATATCTGCCTCTACCTAGGATCGAACTCACAGCCTCCCGATTGTGAGGCGAGAGCTCCACCTCTAGGCCACCGCACCACTCTAACCACAGCCCAGATTATGAGGGTGTAAATTTTTGTCGTTATCTCCAGCAATTCCAGGATACCACATGGTGGTAGTACCCACGCTGCTCTCCCACCTCTCAACCCTGCAGATGGGCAGCAGGTGGAGGATGCCCTCCTTGCCAGAAAAACTACAGGTAGTTCTCGACTTACGACAGTTCATTTAGTGACCGTTCAAAGTTACAACGGCACTGGGGAAAAACAAAGTGACTTATGACCGTTTTTCACACCTCCAACCGGTGCAGCATCCTTATGTTCATGTGATCAAAATTCAAGGGCTTAGCAACTGACTCCTATTTACGACCGGGGTCATGTGATCACCTTTGCCGGCCTTCCAATAAGCAGAGGGGAAGCCGGATTCAGTTAAAAATTGTGACAAGAAAGGTTCGTAAAATGGGGACAAAACTCACTCAACAAATGTCTCAACTTGGCAACATAAATTTTGGACTCAACCGTGGTCGTAAGTCGAGGACTACCTGTACTACCTTGGGTGAGGTTTAGTGATTTAACAACCACAGCAAAAAAAAAAAAAAAGATTATACTCATTAAACAACCACTTTGCTTAACAACAAAAATTCTGGTCCCAAGTCTAATCATAAAACAAGGACTATTTGTATGTTATAGTAGGGGTCCCTAACTCTTTGGACTGGGTCCCATTACTAGGCCACGGCCTGTTCGAAACTGGACCGCGGGAGAAATGGGCAAGAACACACGAAGCTCCAGTTGCAAGAGTG